ATGTCCTTGTCTCCATTGCGACGGGTAACGACACCTTAACGGCGCTGACCAACGCCATTAAATCCCTGACCGCGGTACGCAATGGCGCCACAAATTAGGGCCATGTACTGGAACCCTGGAGGCATACAGCAACGGCTCCCGGAGCTAAGGATGCTGGTTCAGCAGCACAACATCCAAGTTGTGTTGCTCGGGGAAACCAAGCTCCGTCCGGGTCAGCCGTTCCGCCTATCGAACTTCGTCGTGTACCGTAGGGATGAGATCTCCCCAGACCACGGCTATGCCTATAGAGGTACGGCCGTGTTGGTAAGACGGGACCTAGTACACGACGAAGAGGAGCTGCGTAGCTTTACAAGCACGCGCTCCATAGGAGTATGCCTCCACGCGGGCGGGAAAGAGATACGTATGTTCGCTGCGTATCGCCCGCCCGGCTTGCCCTTCAACGCCAGTGACATCCGGAATATCTTTTCTGATAACACTCCTGCCATTATAGCGGGGGATCTCAACGCCAAACATCCATCGTGGGGATCAAGAATTGAGACCCCCGCAGGCAGGAGTCTATACGAACATGCCGAGGAGGTGGGTTATGAAGTGCTGGGCCCTGATGGCCCCACACACATACCCACCATCGAAGATCACGTTCCGGATGTCTTGGACATCGTGCTCTGCCACAAAGTGCCATGCCCTGTCCAGGTAGAGGTGCTGTACGATGCGGACACCGCAGCACCTCCCTGTGCTCATCGTGCTGAGTCTGGCTGCGGACTCACTGGCTCCCAGGGGCCCTAAATATAGGACCGATTGGGGAGCCTATTCGAGGGCAATGTCCACATTTAGCTTCGGTGCACCCATATCAACCGCGGAAGACGTGGAACAGGCCGCGCGCAAAATCACCTGTAAAATACAGGAAGAATTGCGCGCGGCGACCAAGGCGGTGCCGCAGGTGCACCGAAAAGACACGCTCCCGCGTAGGCTCCTCGATCGGTTACACGAGAAGAGGGAGCTTAGAAAGCTGTGGGCCCGCACCCGCTGCCCACGAGTAAAGACAAAACTCAATCGGCTCAAGGACGAGCTGTCGGCAGCCATCAAGGCGTACAGGGGTGAGGGGTGGGAGCGCCGCATTGAGCAGGCCTCCGAGTCGCAGACCTCCCTTCACCACCTTAACCGACAGCTCAGCCGCACATCACAGCCCATCTGTCCACTCGTGGGTAGCGATGGGCGTAAGCACGCTGCAGCCCAAGACAGGGCTGACATATTGACAGAGCACCTAGAAGGGCAATTTGTGGCCAACACATCGGCCCCAGGCGCCATTGCGTTCCACCAAGAAGTGGAGCGGCACATACAGGTGTTCCTGTCGGAGCCGGTGCCACGGCTGGATGGTGGACTTTTCATCACTCCGGCCGAAGTGCGTAGAGCCGCGAGTCGTCTCGCGCTCCGCAAGGCACCCGGCACCGACGGAATCACGACGTTGGCGATAAGGCAACTACCGAAAAGGGGGTTAGTGGCGCTGTGCCGCCTGTACAATGGTGAACTGCGCACGGCGCACTTCCCCTCTGAGTGGAAAACCGGTAAGATCATCGTCCTGCCGAAACCGGGCAAGGACCGACGACTTCCGGGGAGCTACCGACCGATTACGCTACTGCCGCACGTAGCCAAACTTTGTGAACGGTTGCTGCTGCGGAGAATAGTTCCCTGCATCGAGCTACGCAGGGAACAGTTCGGTTTCCGCACTATGCACTATCTTGCGGCCCAGTACAACCGGGGCCGCATCTGTCTGGGGGTCCTTCTCGACATGGAGAAGGCCTTCGACAGAATGTGGCACGAGGGCCTACTGCATAAGCTGCTGGAAAATACCACCACCCACCGTGCGCTCGTGCGGTTAGTAGAGTCGTTTCTCCGGGACCGGAAGTTCGTCGTACACGTCGAGGGAGCCGACTCGGCGGTACGATGTATCAAAGCCGGTGTACCACAAGGTAGTTGTCTGTCGCCACACCTGTATGCGGTGTACACGGACGACCTTCCCACCTTGGAGCAAAACGCCTCCGACTGGGATGAAGACGTACTGTTGGCCCTGTACGCGGACGACAGTGCATTCTTCACGTCTTCACACAACGCGGCGTTTGCGGCGAGGAAGATGCAGCGCCAATTGGACCTGCTGCCCGAGTGGTTGGATAAGTGGCGGATGTCTGTCAATGTTGACAAGACGTCCGCCATCTACATCCGCCACATCAAACACCAACCCACGCTTGAGCTGCGAGGTCAAGCGATAACGAACCAGGACACCATCAGGTATCTTGGGTGCCGGATAGACCGCTCGCTGAGTATGGCGCCCCAAGTCGAACACTCTGTTCGACAAGCCAGGGCAGCTCGAGCGGTCCTTTACCCAATCCTGGCATCCAAGCTACCTGTTAAGACGAAACTGGGCGTCTATAAAACCTACATCCGTTCGCGCTTGACCTACGCCGCTCCGGCGTGGTACGCACTGGTTTCCGCCTCGCAGAGGCGCAGGCTCCAGGCGCAGTAGAACCTCGCCCTTCGAGCAATCGTGGGGGCCGGGCGCTACGTCAGGAATGACGTAATCGCCAGAGACCTTAACATCGAGTCCATCAAGGAGTTTGTGGTCCGGTTGGCCCGTCGCATGTACAACAGGGCCGACAACGGACCACACCCACATCTTAACAATATTGCTCCTCTCCACGCCCGTCCTCCTGACGGGCGCCCGCTATGCCCGAGAAAACGATGTCTCGCGTTACACACCGCGTATAACGCTGTACACCCGCCAGTGCCGCTGCCGCGGTCAGAGTAAGGGATGGCCGTTGGCCTTCTTCACCACCGACCAGCCTTTGCTGGTCGAGATTATGCTCAAGGCATGAAGGGGTTGCCCCGACCCTCGTATCAAAAGCAGGCCTCGCGCCAGCTTCCGTACATCTCTCTCCTAGGCCCCAGCCCATGTAGTAAGTTTCAGCCGCCCCTTTCTCCTATTATATATCTTGTTATCATCAGTGAATTTTTTGTCTGGATTGGCCGCCCCTAATATGTGGCCGCCCTAGGCCCGGGCCTATCGGCTTTAGGGCAAATCCGCCACTGTCAGTATTACAGGGACGGACCTGCCCATTCGCGGTCTTACCACAGTAAAAAAGTCTAAATAGGCTCATTGAACCCACTTAGATCCATGACGTACTCGGCCGGCCTTACATAGAAGGCTAATATTGTCCGGGCGCTCGCTTTTAATTCAATACAATTGAGCAACCTGAGTTTGATCCCCGGTGCCAGCCAGCACCAATGAAATTGTTAACTTTAAGTGGTAGCTTACGTGCTCAGCGACGAAGGAAAACATCGTGTGTGAACCTGCATACTTACGAAATAATACCAAAAAAAAATATCTTGCGTGGTAGTGCGTAGTCCTCCTAATACCCTATGTACAAAGGAAGCTTTTGCCTAACTGTGGGACATATATTGGCTGTTACGTTACTTTACCCAAGAAACCTGTTATTGAATCAAAAAAGGCAACAAAAAATGTTTCATTGCAATTTCGTAATGACTCGGGGTCAAAGGAAGTTTTATCTTACGTACGTATCCCACCATTGTGAGGTCGGTTTTTTTCATGACTGACAATATGAAAATTAATAAACGTTTCTATTGCATATTGAATTATTAATCATACTAGCAGTATTATTTAAATTCTTGCTTTCTACAATATTTACAGTTTTGTGCTTTTCTAAACCACAGAATTTATTCCTCACAACGGGCATCGTGATGATATTTAATTTCAATAATCTCTATGATGAAAAGTAACTGTGAAGTTAGGAAAAGCCATCACCACTTCAAATTTCACCGGAATCCGACAGGCCTTGTCAGCGTATAAATACCTCGTTTTTTTTAAACCTGCAAGCCTCTTCACCAGAAGTTAAACCTAATGGGCTAATAGGACACTAACGGACGAAAAATAGTTAAAGTATTTGAAACTTCGACATTTAAAATTAGAAATAAATTGATATAAAATCTGTAAAATAGTTTTATAACAAAATCGAATGAATCTTGGTACAGTTTTATGTGCCCATAATGCGATTCCGGCAATGTTGTTTCATTTAATCGCTATTGAAAAATTGTAAACACGGAATTTTACTGTAGTTAATGCCAATGAAGGTATTTAAAATAATCTATTTCTATTGTGAGATAGCCTGTTGACGATTTCAAAAATTTTGATACTACGACATTGCGTATTGTCAAATATTGAAAATTATTGATTCATACCTTGTACGCAACCGAATTGAATAAGTTTGCAATTGCACCTATACTTTCTTGAAAAACGGCTGCTATAAAACCACAATGCCTGTGGCTGCGACAACAGTCCTGCAGGGAGCCGTGCCTCAAGACAATATCTGTGTAGTTTCTCTGACTACGTGATGGCTTTATTTTTCAAGGTATTGCAACTATTTCACGGTGATAGTACATAGAAACCATTCTATAATTCCATCTGGGACTTAACCTTCGGAAAGTTTAGAGATTTGTACTATGATCAAATTTTTAAATCCTCGCTATATGTTTTAGATTACATTTATTTTATATCTTTTGCGTTTTTAATATACCATAATTGTGTACTATTGAAAAAGTAAGTATTTAAATGAAATAGTAAATCTTAATAATTTAGGGTCTTAAATTGTGATCTAGATTTTAGTGACTGTATAATTTATAAATATGGACATAAATTTTGGATTAGATGTGAATCAGTTTTTATCACTAACTACAGATTTTCATTGCCATTACTATTGAGTAACTTTCTTTCGAAGCAGCTGACCGTGAAGGTCGGCATACTTTTTAGAATCCACCATTGTAAGATAACAAGTTTGTTTAGGCGATTGACACAGTTCCCAACTTTTTTAATATTTAATACTTTTTCGAGAATAAAACGTCCATTTGGACATGATACAAATTAATGGTAATATTTAAATCGCTTGTTCTTTAAAAAAACAGTACTTTAACCATCTCGTTTGCACCATTTTTAGATGTTTCCAGTCGTGGCACTTGTAGCAAGTGCTTTATCGACACATGCACCAGGGGGCTATTCGTATAACAGATTTAGTGGTCCAGTGAGCGGTCAAATTGTGGAGGTGCAAGTACCAGCAGCTGAGAACATACCAGCTCAACAACACGCCAGCTATGGTTACGATCATAAAACTGGTAAAATTAATCCAGAGACTGCCAAATATGCCCGTCTAAAAACGGTCGACTACGTGGTACGTCCTTATATAAAGTGGTAAAAATTCGCATAATGCTGTACATATTTCTTAACTCTTATTTAAAATCTATCACAGGCCAAACCTGACTACCATTATGCTTATGGAGTAGAAGATCCGCATACTGGTAACTTGCAAAACCATAAGGAGCACCGTAATGGAGATGTCGTTACTGGCGAATATTCACTCGTGGAACCCGATGGTTCCCTTCGTATTGTGCGATATACGGCCGATCCCAAAAATGGCTTCCAGGTAAGAATAGTTTGTGTACTTAAAAGTTCTTCTGTATACATATGTATTTATAGCTTAAGCATGGGAGATAATTAGGCTGTGATATTTAAACTGGAGCGAAATCTTACTTTATAACAAAATACATCTAAAAGAATTTTGCAGTTATGTTACGTTAATTTTATGACAAAAGTAGAGGTAGGAAACTTCTATACCGTGGTTACGCAGTACAACGTTTCACCATTTGTTTTAATCGTTTCTTTATAGGCTGTGGTGCAAAAAAAACCCGGTGCCCATCCTCAGCAAGTAGAGCAGCCAGTGCACTATGGTCGCAATAACCAGGAAGAAGATAATTCACGGGAATACTAGTCTTTATTATCCTCATTAGAATTACTTTTAAGTTTTTTGGTTTAAATTGTTGAATATTTATGTGTAACTGTTAAAAATAAAAGTTTCTCGACTAATAATACAGTTCTTGTTATTTAATTTATTTATTATATTTAGCTTTATTTGATAATTATACAATTGGCATGTATATATGCAATTTAAAACTAACAGTGATTGTACCTTTAAGACTTAATTGCCACCACTTAAATAGCAATTTTAGGCATTTTAAGTTCACACACCTCTAGTAGGGCTGTTATCAAATAGGCAGCGACGGTGCCATGCTTGGACCAGCTCCCCCCAAGAAGGTTCTCAAGAAGTCCATGGGGAAAGGGGAAAATTATCGTAGAATTCTTTTCAGCTGATATTGTGTTAAGTGACTGCAAATACCGCAACTGTAAAAATAATAATAAATCGTACGCATAACCTTAAACCAGGATATAAAATTCATTTTTCTCATCATCATCATTTCAGCCTGTTTGATTCCACTGCTGAACATAGCCCACACACTGCAATGAAGCATGATCTAAGCCACCTGTGTCCAGCAACTTCTCGCACACTTGCACAGGTCTTTACTCCATCTAAGGGGGTCGTCGTACACTACGATGGTCTATACGAAGCTGACACTCGAGAATCTTTCTTTCCCATCGGTTATCGGTTCATTATCATTCAGCTTTCAAAAATGCGAATATAAATACTTTTTTATATTTAATTTTTCAAACGAACAACAACCTTTGTTTCATAGAGAATTGGTATCAATCGTCTGAATCTACGCGTACTGAATCTAAAATAAATAATTTAAATTATATGAATTTAATGGAATGCAAAAGCAAAGCTCTATTTAAAATCCAAATCGAATTTGCAATTCAAACCTTAGATTTTGTTCAAATATTTAAACAGCGTGGTGGAATTGCATTTATAAAATATATGCATAAGTAAAATTGTAAACACTCTCTCTCGATACTATCAACTCTATTGAATTTAATGATTTTTCAATCTGAATTTTCATTTACTTGTTGTAGGAAAACAAATTTCACATGGAATTTATCCATAATTATCATAGATATGAAATCAAACCTATAATTAATATCTTACCAGGTACTCAAAACGAATCATCATCGCTATCAAAGTATCAATTTTAAAAGACTTCTTAATTTTGATCAGATAATAAAATAATTATTATTACTTATTTTATAAGATAATACATCTTACTTGTAGCGCCATTGGGTTATCGATCATGACAAGTGATGCTTCTTTCAGTGCTTTAGATGCTTTAATTTCACCTTCAGCAGCGATAATCTTTGCTCTTGCCTCTCTATCCGCTTCAGCTTCAGCCGCCATTGCTCTTTGAAGTTGCACGGGAAGCCTCACGTCCTTTCTGAGATTGGAAGGAATTACTTCCTAATAAATAATACTTAGATTTTTTTAATTGTAATTTTTTGTACATAAATGTACAAAAACTTTCGGTGCTGCGGGATCCGAATCTGAGTCTTGTGGATTCGTACTCAGACGCTTTACCAACTAAGCTAAGCGGCGCGATAATCTTGACATCTACCTACACTCGTTAGTTGCATTTATAGTAATGATTGGCGCCATCTAGTGTGCACCCTTTACAACATCTTACAAATAACTTTCAACCATGAATATTTGTAACGAGAGATGTCGTCATGCTCTTAAAATTTTTTAATATTAATTTTTATTTTTCTTGCTTGTCTCGGCACTCAAGATGAAACTAAATAGTATTTTTTTCTAGATAAATGAACAAAAACTTTCGGCACCGAATTCGAACCTGCATCTTCTTGTTTCTTTAATGTAACTGATCATTTATATGAAAAATGTTTCTAACATGTTGATTTAATGTAAATTATTCTGTTATCGGAGGGGTTGTTACTAAGTAATTTAGTAATCACCTAAATTTTGGACATACTTTTCCTTAAATGATTTATTCGTGAATATATAATATATTCAAAAGTAAGGCTTAAGACATCGCACTTTATACCGATAAAAAAGAATAAAAAATGTCTTACATTTCAACTCTTTCGACCTCGACGCCCCAAGGGTCAGTGGCCTCGTCTAAGTTGGCTTGCATCATGTGGCTGATAGCCTCGCGATCTGACAATAGCTGAGCTAGGTCTCGCATACCCAGAACATTTCGCAGCGTGGTTGCTGCTAGCAGTCTGGTTGAGGCACTAAAATAAATGCAACATTTGCTTTGTACACCACTTAAATATTTTAGCTTTTCAGTTAATTCAGCAAATTTTTTTTATTAAAATCCACAGCTTTTGCGGCTTTGATATTTCTTATACACGCACTAAAAAGTATGCAATATTTATGTCAGTGTAATCTTTAGATTAACCTGAGCAAATTTCTACTGCTAAATGACAATGACCTTCAGATTTATATCGATTAGTTTTTTTTAAGTTGTTTTATTAGTTTTTTGAAGACATTGTAGTTCAAATAATGCTTACGTCCACATCAGGGAATAGGAAATATGTCGTTTTGGTCGTTTTAAAAATGTTTGTGAATATTTTTGTTAGCGAGTAATAAATCAATGGTCTGTTATTTTCAAAGAGCATTTTATGGTTAGTAAGTTTAATGTTGGGTTAAAAAGAAATTGGTTATACTTTACCTCGATCAAATGCCACATCACCTTTTTAATTTAGGGAATGTAAGATGGTAAGGCTTTTATTAAATGTAAGAAATTTATTACAGTTTTATATCAACACATACATTTTCTACCTTTTCTTAAAAGAAAATGTTATAATACCCAATATAACAATATCAACGCCAATATGTTCCATCAACATAAAGTAAAAATGAGTAAATTAAAAAAAATACATAATCATACAAAAAAACCGCAGATATTTTGTACCGCATATTGCCATTTCCCACCAAGGAAGACAGGGGAGCCCCTTCCTTCTAGGTAATTTAATGGAAATGTTTTTAAGTAAAAAAAATTGAATAATTTACCTGTAATCCGCAACACGAACCACAGCGTTTAACGGTTCTTTGATTCTGTAATACACCACCGCGTCTACTGCCACCGTCACCGAGTCTCTTGTCAGAACCTGCAGAACATGGGAATGTATTTTATCTATTATAAATAACCCGGCCAATTGCGAGCCGGACTCGCGCATGAAGGGTTCCGTACCATTATATACAAAAACGGCAATTATAATCATGTCTGTTGTGTGGGAGCCCCACTTAAACATTTTTTTATTCTATTTTTTAGTATTTTTTGTTATAATCAGACATACATCAACTGTGAAAATTTCAACTGTCTAACTATCACGGTTCATGAGACACAGCCTGGTGACAGACGGACCGACACATAGCGGAGTCCCGGTCTCGTTTTACACTTATTTATTATCTCTGGAATTAATTAACCGAAAAATTTTCTTTTTAACAAATCTAAAGCATTCCTGAGTAAATCAATTTTCTTAAAATAAAAATGGTCAGTGAAAAGTCTACGCATAAGTAAATGAAATGATAAGTAGTAAATGGTGAAAGTCAGGAAATATTTTTGATAAAATAAACAAAAACACCATGCATATTAGAATATATTACTTTACTGTGGTAAGACTATGCAGTAGTTTCTGCTGTTGCAGGTATGGGCAGGCTTGTCCCGGGTCGTACCACGAGCTCACAGAAGACCGGCGTGAAGTTAGAAAGCTTTAAGTTTTCGCATTTCATCTAATCCCTCTTATATTTATTATTTTTAAGTTTCGCAATGTATCTGCAACCCCTTTGCTGTCGATGTCCATTGGTGGTGGTAGTCACTTAATATCAGTTGAATTGCCTGCTTTTAACATGGATTAAAAAACGAATGTATTATACTTGTTTTGGAAATTGTAAAGATTGTGTGACTGACTTTCTTATTTGTTATTATTGTAGAATGACCCTAAATATAACACTAAATTAGTTTGACTTCATAACTTTTACGTTCATAGTTATCAACTAACTTAAAATTTAAGTAACAATAGTGTTTAAAATGGAATCGATTGCGGAACCAGACAAATCCGTCTGAGCTTAATCAAAATTAACTTTCAAATGTTATACCATTTTTGATTTGTACTTTCTTTAGCAAATCTTTAAGTAATTATAATTTGCTTTTATTTTTATAATTAATGTTATTTTAATGTTCGTCTCTACACTTTAGATAAAACTTAAAATACTAATAAATTGTCTTTTCGTCATCATCATCATTATTTCAGCCCTATGGAGATAATTACAGAACATAGGCTTCCCTCCTAGATTTCCACAAATTAAGATCCATGGATCTCACTTGCACAAGTCGACCCAAAAAATTTTTATTTATTAAAAAATGTTTTTAGCATAAAACTGGTGCAAATTCTTACAATTTTCAGATTTTACTCCTTGGTTTGTTTTGATGTGTTTATAATGATGTTTTTGATCTATTAAAGCTGACTTGAGCCCGTACTTCAGGTAGTGTTAAATAAATTCATACACATTGCAAGGGAACATTGATCTATTCAGTGATTGCAGCCGGCCGACGTTACGCGATCACTTTAAGATGCAACAAAACGGTTCTTCGATAGAGCCGAAAACCATCGCAATCATCTGGTGGTAAACACAGCTAATTTATCAACCGGATCCAAATACGACCGCTCGCAAACGTCACCCGCGTGTAGTCCGCTTCGATCCGGTGAAGGAAGGGCGCGAAATAATCCAGTCCCACTGGAGGCGCCTTTAGACAACAAGTGATTGTGTTGCAGGTTAACATTAAAGTTCGTCCTCGCTTGATAGCATGGCGAAACTGTACTGCGCGCGTTTTTCGCACCCGCGTTTCGTGGCGAATCTCGTCGCTACCAGCCAACGAATAGTACAGTCACGGGCTGCCGATGTCACGGCCCGCATACTGAATCTCGACGTTGGCTAAAACAATACCCTAAATGTATTAGGATTATTTAGCGACATTTAACATTAAGCTTCAAGTGCAGAAAGATTCTAAATCGTTCAATTATCCTGTGATCAATCATTCCCATGATCTTCTCTCGGGCCTAATAAAACGTCGTTGCTAAAATATACGTACATTATGCATCTTTGATACGTAATATTACTGGATAAATTGATTCCATTCCATTTGGCATTTATTGCAGTGGCTCTGGTTGCGCGTAACAGGTGTGCATTCGATTCCCTGAGCATTGCAAATACCTACATTTAATTGTCGCGTATCTGAGTGTTTTTACAAGTGTAATGTTTAATAAATGCTGCGTACGTAACGGTTTATGTTTCTTTTTCTGATTAGTTAACATTTTAGGGGGGATTTAGGAGTAAAAACTAGAAATGAGATCTAAGGATTTTATTGGTAGAGAATGTTTTAGCGTAATGCTCGACATTATACATTTAAAGTTACAGGTTCGTCCGGGTAAAACCACCACCTCACAGAAGACCAGCGTAAAGTGGAAGTATGACAAATACTTTCGCGTTTCGTCTGGTGAGTGAGATTGCCGGAGCCCAATTTTCAAAAGGTTGTCAACGCATCCGTACCGCTCGGGTGTAGTAGATGTCCATGGGCGGCGATATTCACTTACCATCAGGTGAACCGTCTGCTCGTTTGGCAACTTTTCACAGTAATAATTTAGAGAGTTCAGCTTCCATCGACAACAAAGGGCCAATTAACTTCAGGCCAACTAAGTTCTTCAGGACTGAATAATCGGAAACATTTGACAGTGATGACCTCTTTCCCTAAGGGCGAACCCCTTCATTTGTTATGTAATATTTAAGAGGAACTGTATAGTAAATACCTAGGATCTATTTCCTAGTGTGTATTAATAAATGTTAATTATATTATTAATGCTGGTATGTACTTGCACTTGTATATGCAATAAGTCAAAAATCCTGGACATTTGTTTTTTTTGTTTGTATGGATTGTTAATATGGAATGCGTTTAAATCCTGAAATTCTGTCGGATTTAACGTCAGTGTGCATCAATTAAGCTGACGAATGAGGTCGGAATTGAGATATCTGTTCGCGGACGGGGAACATTCGACATGTTTAAATAAACATAGTTCGAACGAAGATATGATGTTGTCGGTATATTTATAGCGAAATCGAATTAAAGAGATAAACAAATAATATTTTAGTCATTACTACTGATTTTCATTCAATTTTCGATTAATGTTAATTGAATTTTTAGTAACGCTTTATGGATACAAGCAAATTCCTTGAAAATTTTGATTCATTATTATCAGTGCTGTCCTTATATTTTATAATTTAAACGATAATTTTTTTTAATAATTTGGTAACTTAGTAGAAAACTATAGGGTTATTTAATAATTAACTGTTTAATATATCAATTTATAGAGATTTTTCTTTTATTTTATAATTATCATCTTAAATTTAATTAATCAAACGTGTTGGTGACAGTTATAATCGATAATAATAAAGTAAGTTAGTTTCTACGACGATGTTTAAAGCATACAATAATAGGATTTAGTTTTTTCTACAAATTTTGTTTTTGTACATTTTCTACATTCTTTCATTTTTGTTTTTCTACATATTTTAAGGATTTAGTGTTGATAAAAGTATTATAAGATGACTGTACATCCACACAATTATAAACAAAGAGCGATTGTTTGTCCGCCGTAAAACTTTGATTGATGCATTATGGCCGCATCAATTAATCGCGGGCTGACGGGAGGAGCATCTGGGTTAACTGTTTTCAATACCAATGCCATTTCAGAACCACTGCCGTATCTTATTTCGATCCATCATGTTTTCGGCCATGTGGTTTGAATATTCCTGTTCATATCGATATTGCCAGTGTACTTTTGTTCGTAGCGGAATTGGGTTAGTTTCAAAAAATCTGTAGTGTAGTTCAAACGCTACCCATTCTATTATAATAGAATTGGAAGATTTCGCCTAAGCAGCCTGTAAACAATATGTTTTGGGTGTAATAAGTTGCGTTTGAGTGATCGTCGCGCCAGCAGTTTACCTCTTGCGGAGGTACATCAAAAGAGACCGTCCTAAGGTCAACTTTACGGTACGTGTCAATGCAAGGTAGCACGAAGAACAGGCCCGGTCCTCTGGCGCCGCCTTTCCGCAATCGACCCAGTCGGAAAATCACGGCTCGTTCGAACTCTTGGACGACCTGAAAGAATATCAGCCAGTTAAGAACCGTTCCAATTTTCTAACCTATATCAATGTCACCATAGAAAACAAATTCGTTTAAAATAGCCTTTAAGGCAGCAAATCTTTTTTTTATAACTTTGAATTTAATTTCACAATCAAAAGTAACAACAACATTTGCCCCAATGTAAAATGATGTATGAAAATCATGTTATCCAATCAGATGGCTTGCTAAAAATGGAAAAATAACAAACAATTTATTACCTTTCCATATCCCGGTAATGTAGGTAATCATTATTGTTACTGTTGTATCATTTTTTTAACTAAGTGCTGACTCTACACTACCCGGTGATATATTGCGTTTGACAAGAATGACAAGTAAGCTTGCTAAATGTTATAGCTTCACATTTATAAACTTTGATTTACTATTAATTACCAGTTTAAATTTTGTTTAGCGCCAAATGTTTGCTAGACTGTTAAAGCACAAATAAAAGACGAAAATAGATTAATTGCTTTCACTTGCAGAACGCTGAGGTAATTTTACTTGCCGCAGCGCAATCAGTCTAAATCACTGTATTTGCGCCAGTGTTTGAAGAGCAGGGTTTAGTAAGAAAATCGATAAAATAGATTCGTATTTCTTTTTATTTTTGAAGGTCTGGTTTAGCACTGACAAAACGAACAAATGAAATGTGTAATATGATGATTAATTTTGAAACTACACATAGAAATATTTTCTTATAAAATTTAATAAGTGTTATATTTTATTAAATAATTCAGTAGTTAGAAGCTGAGTGAATGTTCTATTGCGTGTTACACTTACTATGATTCACGCGATAATTAAAAAAGGACAGAAAACTAAGCCATCAAATGTTCCCTGTCGTCTTTTTTCAATAAAATAAGTAAAAAATTAGCAGTAACGGGCAAGTTCAGCGCAGTAAGAAGACATTGAAAATCACTATAAAGTTAGTATATAGTAATTACCTATTTGAAGTACCATGCAAATTCACCTTAAAGCATTCGAAAAGTGAGAACGGGAAGGTGATGATCACGAGAAGGAACGAGAGGAATGTTGCAAATCTCTCAACGCATCCAACTGCTTCGGGATTCGCTGTCAAGAATGAAATGCTTCGTGAGACATGCGTTCAAACAAATATTATTCTAATGATAAACGATAAACTATTCAACATATTGAGCAGACATTTTTTGCTAGATTACAAGTAACCTACGACTTAGCAGGTGCACTCTTATTATAATAAAGCATATGTTTACAGTGTTGTCTGTACAGGCGTCCCGTGTATCTGTTCTTAGTTAATTGTCGACCCGCAAGCGGAATTTAGGCAATATCGCGTTCAAATTGGGTTAGAGCAAGACGTTAAACAACGCTACCACACTGTCGTTGTACTTACGCATTTGTATCGTGATAGCGCAAGACGTGCCCGTATCGCAATCTAAAACGTTTCAATGCACAGACATTAGAATATTGCGGATATGGCGGATATCATTTGATACGTTCGCTCACACGATTTACTTACGACTGGGGACGTTATCGCGTCTAGTGCTTACAGATCTTAACTCCGTCTGCATTTCGATCGATTGATTATTTATTTGTTTTAAATAATGCCGTGCGCATTCGGACAATTAACGCTCATAACAGTGTTATGCTCCGCCAACAATCACCGACTGCGCTGAAATACGGTTTAACTTACTGTCGGAAGAGGCCGCATGTTTACACGACCCAAAAAACACCGATTCCAACTAAAAATATCAATTACAACGCGTCGTTCCACAACAATACGATATGTTGTAAAACGGCGACGGATCCGTACGGGTTTTAGTATTGAATTATTTACGTATTTCCAGATAGCACTCCACTTCGCCCGAGTCCTTGTCGTAGCAACCGAAATCCATTGAGTATTTGACACCGCACAATGTGTAGCGCATTGATTTGCGATTGGAACAATTGCGAATTGGTCGCGATGTTAACTACCCGGTGTCTATATGGATACTAAGAAGACGTGAAGCACCGAGGATCAAGTTTGTGCCAACAATAAATAAATAAACGCACTTTCAGCCATAACGCCGGGAGAGCACGGCCGCACACGGTGCTGCAAAATACCAAATTGTTGAATTTAGGTATTCCCGAAACTCTTAACGCATAACTGAGATAAATTACGATCGGATGTTTAGGTAATAACACGCTTACACTAATAATAGAATGTTTGTTTTGGGTGCTGCTGTAAAATGGTTATAATGAGCAGATAGGGAAATGTGTCACTAAATTAGTTATTACTTATTTATTTTCATTTATATGTAGTCCTGTTTCATTAACTGATGTAAATATGAAGAACGGTAACGGTTATAATAGAAGTTATTTGAAGTTTAATGACTATTCTAAATTGAATTTGGGTCAAAGCCGCTATTATGAATGTCTGGTGAAACTCAACGTCTAGCTCATTATTAGCACCTTTGATCTAAATTCGCGATGTCTAAGACGCTAAAGGCTGTAATAGATACAGTGCGCACTAGATAAAATAGACACACTCCCGTACTACACTGTTAAAGTACTAAGACATTGAGGATGCATTTATAATCTTATCCGAAATTATTTTGCCATAAAAATGTTGTAAGGCACATCAACTAATGGATTTCTGGATCACGTGGATGTCATCTATGAATTAACAGCAACAATTGAGTTCCAACTGCTGCTTTGGCAACCCAATTGGCCCCGGTTACTTACTGGCTTGCTTCTTCTTCTTCTTTTACGACCGGCCGCCTGTCTCACGTGAACCTTTTTTGGAATAAACACCCAGATCCAGATCCGACATAATGTTGATCATGAAAATACTTGGCACGTGTGGGAATCGAACACACGACCTCCAGTGCCGGCGCCAACAGCTTAGCACGCGATGCAGCTGATGGTATGTGATTACTGCCGCCCATGCACATCACAGTTATTGCGGGTGCGCTGCCAACGTCACGCGATGCAGCTGATGGTATGTGATTACTGCCGCCCATGCACATCACAGTTATTGCGGGTGCGCTGCCAACGTTTATATTTTATTACTGCGGTAGGGCCCCCGCAACAGTATCTGCTGTTGCACAAATGGGCAGGCTTGTACACCGGCCTCATAGAATACCGGCGTGAAGTGCAAGTATTAAACTTTTGCATTTTGTTTAGTAAATAGTAAAAATCATTTGTTTCTCATCTAAGGAGCCGCTTAATAACGCTTAGACATATAATGCGCCTAAGATTGGGGACAGGAAACATAATAGTTTCCTGTCTAACATTCGTTACAAGTGCGTGATCTTTAATAAACCGGTAGATCCACTCACCGTTCTCTTCTATACGAGTTATCCTGGCCTTTGGTCGTCCCGACGTACTTAAGGTTACGCTATGATCCTTAGCATCAATGAAATCGTATAAACAAACGAAATTATAAATAAAATAAATGTTGCAGGACACATTTTTTCACAATGCTCTGTAGTAAAAACTAAGCAACGCTTGCACTTTAAGTACCAGATAACTTATAAGCATCCTTAAACATAATTCTGTAAATAAATACATGTCGATATATAAACACCCAGACGCTAGAAAAATACTACGCTGAACACGCAATATTTTATTGGTAGGAAATGTGTATGGAACTCACATCCTCTGACATCCACCACGCCAACAGAATAAATAATATTGCAAGTATATAATGATTTTACGTACATTTACTTTTACGTTTACCTAAATCCTCCACATTGTTAAATGAAACTTCATTTATCAATTATATCGTATATTTCTAACTGAACGAATTTAAAAACTCTAAATTTTTTTATTCAATAACTGGCCGAAATTTCGACTACTATCTCTCTTGACAGTAACATCACTAGTTACGTTAGTTTTAAACGGTAAAAGGCTATTCATTTTTGAAGCGACTTACGTTAAATTTGCATGGGTAAACTGTCGCTGACTAATTGGGGGAACACAGTTTGCAAGTATTTTCGCATTTGGTATGTATGAATATTTTGGAGCATTCGTGATCCGAGACATTTAGAAGTATGTTGAGACTTTCGTGCCGTGAGAATACCAGGTTACCTCTGCTAAGAGCGTCTGATACGGTCACCGACACTGGTTCGAATGCTAGATTTTTCTACAATTTATCTATCATAATTTAGTTTCATTTTTCAACGTTAGTAACAAAATTACATTGAATGTTGATAAAATACTTTGCTATTGAAATAAGCTACTAGTTTCATAGTACAATAAAGAGTAACTTTTGATTTTAATCATGGTAAATTATTAATTTTAGAAATTAGGCTGCTACCAGCTGTACACGTGCTACCACCTACGCCAGGGAAACTCCTCGGTTAGTTTACATAAGCATTTTTTTCTCACCAACTACGTATAAATACGTAAGTATTTATCCCAAGTATTAAACACTTAGATATGCCGTAAAGGGTTAGGAGTGAAATTAATTGATTTTACCACAGAGTTGTGGCTTGGCGTTGTAATGTGGTCTGGTTTAGATTTATTCATGCCCCTATTGCTAAAGGAACATTAAGCTGTTTTTTTTCGCTCCTTGACTTGAGCAATTAATCTCATTTCATGTATAAGTTATTCTGTTTGTCTGTATAAGTATTGTTTAAATACTTCCGTTGGAGTATAAATATAGTTGAAGTAATTTGCTTTATTTGATTTTTACATTATTATATTAAATATTATTTTAGATAAGTGCAGAATGAAATATTTAATTATTTAAATGTTTACAAAAAAATATAGTCAATATTCATTCATAGAATTCTCTCTATAGGATTACAGTTATTACATTTTTAAAATAAAAAAGTAATTTTTAAAAGTAAATTAAATAATTCATTATTGTTGCCCATCTCTTAATCGCTATACTAGAAACATAGACGGTTTGATAACATTATTAAAAAAGATAAAAAAAATTTTTTATTGATAAGTTTATATTGAAATTCTGGTATTAGAGAATTGATAATGTATTAAAAATAGCCTTGTTTTTCTTTTCCTCTAGAAACAAGATTATATCACGATACATAGAACATGAGCCTACACTGCGGGTTACTTATGACGTAACGATCAATTACTAGTTACTGGGTATGCTAGCGTTTTTAATTTATAAGAGACAGGCCTTACCTAACATCGGTCTAGTCTTCCATTGTTGTCGTTGTATAATAGTAGAAAGGGTTTCCATTGCTTTGTTATGGACAGCAATTATCCTGGTAAACGATTAATTTCATCCGTATTAGGTACTTTCCAAGTTTTTTTTATTTCGTAATATTGAATTACGATATAACTGATTTCATTCATGACGCTTTCACTTGCTTGTTCTGAAATTACACATTGTTGTTTAAATTAAATTATTAATGGTTGATTAAGCTAGCGTATTAAAATTTTGACTATTATATTCAGTGGTTATCAGAAATTTTGGTCAAGTCTTAAAGACGCACTTAGTACAATTGATGGCGTATTACTACATTTAACGGAGCGTCGATCACTAATCGGTTGTGAGTTCTAAAATGAATACTATGCAAATTTAATACCTATTTGAATTAGGAAATCCAAGCCAATCTCTTTTTTTTCAGTTTCTAAATTTATGTTCTTTCGAGACCTTGTTCAATATTGTATTAATTTAAAATCTTATGCAGAGTTTAAAAATAAAAGTATTGCGTTACTTTAAATTTAACGTTAAAACTACAATTTATACTTTTGTCAAGATTATAAAATATTCAGTTCATATACGTTTACGGTTCTTTAACATTATCATATTATTATTTTTTAACCAAAGTCTATAACAGTTCCTTAACTAATCTTTATTATGTTAAGTGTTTGGTTGAAATTGATCTTCAAAAGTAAAATTTTCACATTTAAAATTATGTTATTACTAGCTTTTCGCCTGCGGATTCGCTCGTGTTTAAGCCCTTAAATAAATATCTTTCAACCCTTTACAACACAACTTTTTTCTAATTAAAAATAGCCTATGTCCTCCCTCAGGCTCTAGACTATCTGTGTACCAAATTTCATTTAAATCGGTACAGTACTTTTTGAGTGAAAGCGAGACAGACAGACAGAGACACTTTGGCATTTATAATATTAGTATGGATATCACAATGCAATATACGAGAAATATCGCCATGTACAATTATAAAATTTGCATAACGGCAATAAACTCAGAATTTTATTATCCAAATATTTGAAACCTGCATATGGGCAAAAATTGGAAATTTAATAGTAGTCTTCAAATAAGGATTGACCCCACTGGTCAATGACGCTCCTTCACTGTGTACAGCTAAACTGACTTTATAATCATGTGGACGAGTATGGAGGCACAATCTAAATCTACCATAATATTAATAATTGTAATGTTAAACTTGTAACCAGTAAGTTCTTGTCATTTTACTAAAACAAGAGGGATGTATGATAGATAATAGATATACTAGATAACAGGATCGCGTGGGGTATAAAACATTTATTGAAACTATAAAATATATTCATAAAAATTCGAAGAATAAATTAAACCAATTCAAAAAGGAATTAGTATTAAGGAAAGCCTCACAAATTTTCAGTCGAAAAATATATTAATTGTATTTTTAGATTCCCCTTACCTCAAAACCGTGGTATAGATACCTTGCTTTCAGCAAAAACAGTAGAGCTATTTCCATTTTTATCATTTTGACCCGTATATGTGTTTTGTAAAAACCGGGCTAACATGTTTGTGCTGTGTGTTGCGTTTGATATTTCTACATAAGTGACTGTGATTTATCTAGAACAGTTCACGTTGCTAAGTTTATAAGTAATTTCAGTAATTCGCTTGTCAAACTACATTTTAGTATCTATAACGACTGGACGTGAATTTCCGAAAGGGGTAATAAACTCTGGATTCGATTGCGCTATATTTCTCAATATTCACACATATATCTAATATACGTCTCACGGTGTTTGTAATTGAACTCCTCCGAAACGGCTCGACCGATTTTCGTGAAATTTTGTATGCGTATCGGCCAGGGTAGAGAATCGGACAACATTATTACACATAACTATTTTTCATCCCCCTAAATGTTTAGGGTGGTCCACCCGAAACATTTTTTTCTACCCTACAAATATTTTATATGGCAAAACAATGTTTGCCGGGTCAGCTAGTAAACTTATAAAAAAGGATTTTTACATAACGATTCAACGCGTTCTTCATTGTACAATTTAACAAATGCTAATTTGAATCAAATCAAAGCAAAATAATTAATGTGGTACATTTAATAAAAAGAAAAAAGCGGATTTTGTTTGAATGACATGCCTTTAAATTGTACCTATAATCGAGCATTTTCATGGATTAATTTAGTTTCGTAACGTAAAGCAAGCAATTATCATTTATATACTATAAATTTAGACACTGTACAGAAAATGTGTTCCTTAAAAAGCTGTTCCGAATCTGAGTGTGCTCCGTGTAAGTCAATTTTAGGTTTGTGTAATTTTTCGTGAAACAAGAATGATTTTCCTAGTTTCTTTAATTCTAGCATTATTCCCTGCTGTAAGGAGACATTAGCAGTATGATAATATATCCAAGCCCTGAAAGTGGCCATTTATTAGTCGTATTAATATAAGTAAAATATAAATAACTAGCGACCCGCCCCGGCTTCGCACGGGTGCAATGTATTATCCTTCCTTTTGAATCGTTCTATCTAGTAATTGTTGCGTACGTAATTTGTTACGTACTTTTAAAGATATAAGCATAAATATGGACAGACAGGCAGCGGGACTATTTTGTTTTATACTATGTAGTGATTTACTGCTATATTTTACTGCTATATTTGCACAAAAATGTATACTAAAAAAATGTGAATTATGAACACATTATGTAGTCGTTAGCCAGTCGTTATTTCATTAAAAATCACTGTTTTGCCTGACATACGATTGAGATGGTCTTTAATACTTGAAAGAACTATTTAGCAGTATTGTCATGAATCAGAAATTAATGTAACTTTTGCAATATAATGATGCTGTCAGCACTCGCCTGTAAATCACCATAAATTTTTCTATTTCCTAAATTTATCATTTATAATTGTACTAAGATTATTTTGTTGCTACGAGATCTAATTTAAAATCGTAGCGTAGTAAGTTCAGTAGTTAGCAATGGAGGGGCCCTATGTTTATAAGCGTAGGGCTAGAGGTTTCGGCGGCGATTGCTACAAGTTGCGCGTGTGATACTGTGCTTATCGACCAAGAGATATGTGGGTGAGTTATTCTGATCTGAAACGGGAAAAAGAAGAAATGAGAATTTCATTACTATCTGATTTTATCAAATCAATTTTAATTTGTCAATATTAATTACCAAAAATATTTCAGTGTATCAATTGTCATGTGATAATGTATCCGGTATAATAAAATATGTGTAAAAGTTCCTTAATTGTAGAATTTATAAATATGTAATAATAACATGTCTGTATTCATTATTCATTTGTCATCTAAGTTAACTTAATGCTATACAAGCACTTAGTAGTTTTATAAAACAATTTAAACGTCTTAAACTCTTTTTTTAAACATATATTAAAACACGATAAACACAGGAAATGGTTATTCTACATTGATGTACCTATATTTAGGTAAAAAAAAGATATATTTAGTGAATTTCGGGATTTGCCATTATTTGCAATTGCAATATAAATAAGCTTAGCGAAACGTGAATAGCATTAGCCTCTTCTTTCTATCACATTAGGATCCAAGAACGCAAGATTCGATTATTTGATTTCTTTATTTTTTTAAATCGTATCCGCCACAGCCTGTGTTATTGTGCTACGGTCGCAGAGATGACTATCCAAATGATTTCGGTCTATATACCGCCGCCATATCGGTTAAGCCAGATACTAGTTCTCTTACACGCCTTTTGGGCTCCATTTCATTTCGCCATTATCGAGGCAATGTCCCGATATCGGCACTTGGAATCGTTGTTACCAAAGTATTTTTATAACTTCTATTACTTTAAAAGCAAGTGAAAATTATTATTAATGTATAGCATGGTCATGTATGAACTACATCACCATGCTATATAATAATCTTTTAGATTGAGTTAACCTGACTAGAACTTGTGTTTTGACTAACAGTTTCAAATCACAACATCAAACAATCATTCAGTGTGCGTCGATGAATTTTCCGTGTTCCGCATTTTTGTATTTGAAAACTCATGTTTCATATTCCTATCTTTTGTGCGACCTTAAGTTTGTGATGCGGTCTACGCTAATCAACTTAATAGACCTGTGAGTTAAATTTACTATTTTTTTAATATACCATTTTAATACAGTTTCTAGTGGTTCTGGCTTGTGTGAGCGGTGCGCTGACTGCCCCGTTGGAGTATGGTTCGGTCTACTCTCATGCACCTATAGCTATTCAGGCAGTGCACGCGCCAGTCGCTATTGCCGAGCCTGTGGTTGGTATTTTACTATCTTTTACGAGCAAACTCCTCACATAAAATTTGATTCTAGTTTAAGCAGACTGATGGTTTAAGTGATCATTTAGCCAACTTTATTTGGGCGTCGTGTGTTCGAACTTTTCACCGACCAAACAGTTTTATGGCGTACGGATTAAAGTTCCGATGCTAGGATTATTTTTGCCCGTGAAACAGGGATAAAAAATCTTTTTAAGGATTGATTTTCTGACTAAGCTTAGTCTAGTTCCGGTGTGACAACTTTTAAATTACTATTACTAGCATCCTTTGAATAGAATTTTTTTTACCTCGCTTATATATCTCGTCTAGGATAACAAACTAGTTTCATATTTGCTGTTGCAATAGATAAATAATTATTAATATAGCTAGATTTTTGTGATATAAAAACTTTAACGTTTTAATACTTGTGAAGCGATCCTATTAAAGGCTGTTGATACTAAGATGTCTAAATGCTGACCGTTAGAAACCATGATAGTTAAAAAAGCTTTGTTGAATTAATTAATTTTGCCTACTCGAAAGTGTTCTTATATTTTCGCAGTCATATCCCAGATACGCCTTCGCCTATGGTGTCAAAGATCCGCACACTGGTGACGTCAAGTCTCAACAGGAGGAGAGGGATGGCGATGTTGTGAGGGGTTAGTTAACTTTTGAATAAAATTGTATAGAGTTAGCATTATGTTTTTGGGAATATTGCTAATATTATTTGTAACATTCATGGTACTTTCGCGAATCAATCACGAGTACCCACGGTTTGGAAAATCATATACCGTCGAAATGTTTATTTGCTATTTCTAAAATATGCAGGTTTCCTTAGTATGTTTTCTGTCACCACAGAGCACATAATAATCAGCGCTTAAAATTACTATTAACGATTCCGGTGGTGTCGGGATTTTAACTAAGGTTGCTCGAGTATTCTAAATTGAAAGTGAGTGGCCGGACACTGAGCTATCGCGGCAAAACTGTATAAGTACCTGCACAGCACACAATTCTATGCTCATATTTATATACATAAACACAGGAAACGTCAATCCTTTCCTAACAATAACTATTAAAAAGACAGATTAAAAAAATCAAATATGTTGAGATGAAAAAAAAAATAGTTTAAAATAAATGTCATGCTTGTTTTTAAAAATAATTATAAAAATTTTTCTGAAGAACTAAGACCAAATGATTCGGTTTCGTTCTCTCATATCATATAGAGGAAAGTTTTCAGTTTCAAATTTGTTTAATTTTAAATAAGTAACTTTATTTAAAAAAACAATATATTTAAACTTGCAAATATTAAAGCTATCGATTTAATTTTTTTTGATTTTTTCTTGGATTGTAATTTTGTAGCGTAAAACCCATTTATGTAAAAGCAGTCAAAATGCCTGTGCCAGATATTTCCTTTTATAAGCCTTTTAACATCTATTACATGTAAGATTTATTTATCTCCACAGGTAGCTACTCCTTAGTTGAACCCGATGGTACAACGCGTACTGTTAACTACTCCGCAGATGATCACAACGGCTTCAATGCCGTTGTGCAGAGGACTGGACACGCTGTACATCCGGTAAGAATATTTCACAAGACACATCTTGAACTTCTAGAGAATTCATTGATACAGGAATATTTTAACTGCAGTGTGATAAATTACAAGTCTGAATAAATAATATTCATGTAACATACACAAATCCACAAGTTCACTGATGATCGAGGATCTCTTCTTTTTTGGAGTCTTGGACCCTAGAGATACATCAGGAAAATACTTAAAATCAAATAGAAAATATACAGCGTGTGAGATATTTGAAGTCGATTTTGCTTTTTTGTTACCTAAACTGTTTTACTTGTATTGTAACGGAAACCACGACTGTGATGGCTGGCGTTCCACAAGGCTCCTGCCTCTCACCCTTACTTTTTACGCTCTACACGAGCGATACACCAAAAGACCCCCACGTCAATCTCGCGCTTTTCACGGATGACACGGCGCTCTTTTATTCAGACCGCAACCTTAGTCAACTAACCACTCGACTCCAAAGCGCCGGCAACCGCCTCGGCGATTGGTTCCGCAAATGGAGCATTGAAGTAAATCCCGAAAAGAGTGTGGCGATTCACTTCACACGAAGTATTTACCCGTCACATCTTTATAAAGGTCGTCGCCAATGCAGAAAACTAGGGCAAATATGTCTTTATGGCCAACCGCTCCGCTGGGAGAAAAAGGTAAAATATAGGTATAATTTAGGAGTCACTTTCGACTCGCGTATGTCATTCACAGCGCATATTAATAACTTCCGTATTAGAGCCGCGTTCGTCTCCGGCCGGCTAAGCACTTTAACTAACCAGTCAAGTAAAATGTCCTTAAGACACAAATTACTTTTATACAAAGCTTGCGTACGGCCAATCATGTCCTACGCATGCATGATTTTCGCCCACACGCACCCTACTCGCTTTCACAAGTTGCAAGTAGTGCAAAATAAGTTCATCCGCCGCGCAACCGGTGCGCAGTGGTATCAACGCACCGTCGACCTGCACAGTGATTGCAGACTCCCGATGATTCGCGAATTTTTCATAGACCTGACCAAACGGTTCTTCGATAGAGCCGAACATCATCCCAACCCTCTGGTGGTAAGCGCAGCAAATTACCAACCCGATCCAAACGCGAGCGTCAACAAGCGTCGCCCGCGAAACGTCCTCATCGACCCGGTCGAGGAAGGGGACTTAGGTACGTCGGACCCACCGTCGGGGGTCCCGCCGGATAACACTACACACACAGTTAGTGTAGCAACAAACACATTAGTTCGCCCTCGCCTCAGAGCACGGCGAGACCAACACAACGCGTACACAAGGTACACCCACGTTCCAGGGCGGTTCTCACCGCCCCCAGCCACCGATTAGCTAAAAACACGGCCATCTCAGGCCATCGACCACATCAGTCGGGGTCTCGGTCCGCACCGCTACTTCGATGGCCCTTAGATGACATGCCGTAGTTAAACGCACGCATGAGCACATGCGCGGCCCTACCCACAGCGGAGGGCCCAAACTCGTGGGTTCTGGCTAGCCCACCGGTTCTGCGTCAGATGAAGCTTTAATAGTCTCTGGACTGAAAGCACAAACATCAGTTAATACAAGACAAGACGACTGTGATGTGTCGTATAGTTGGGCTGTCTGCCTACTTTGCCCCGATTTTAAACTTCGAAAAGTGATTAGAGGAATTTAGTTCAAATATAAATTGCTTATAATTGTAATAATATCTTCGTTAAATTTTTTTCACCATAGTTTTATTGAAATTATGATGCAAATGTTACAATGGCACAACACTTTTCGCGCCATAACAAATTTCGTTAAGTTGACATCACCCGGTAGCAAACGTAAAGGCATTCGTCATCATTTTATCTTGACTTGGTAAAATGCACACAAATTTAAGGGTGAAAGTGGGTTAAATGCAGCTGGAGCGTGGCAAGAGAATGTAATATGAGAAAGAGCAATAAAAATATTAAAAATAAAATAATAATCATGTCTACATATTTTAATAATAATCATGTCGTTTAAAATCTTATGATCAATAATCCAATGACTCCCACCCAATCCAAGGAAATTTAATCTCAGAAAGTTTACTAGAATAACATTTGTGACAAGTTGATTTTGTATCATAATATAATTCTCAGCTATCCCTTATCAGATAAAGGTAAAGTACATTTTTTATTATCATTCGAATATTTTCATAATCGAATGACATGATGTTTTGATGTTGAATGTAGTGATGTTTCTAATCCTATTTCAAATAATAATATTTTAAACCACCTTTATTCTTTTTTTTGTTTCCGGGCGACTTGTTAGGGACTTAATATTATACAAACTTGATTTCTTGTCTATTGCGTTTCGCAGCCGCGGTGGCGCAAGACATAGTGCGTAGGCTTATAAGGAAACAAACAACTCTTGTCTCTTGGTAAACTTTGTGATCGAATTTTCTTGAGCAAATTTGTCCAGTACGGACATGGCATAAGTATAAATGCATAATTGTGAAAAATAAATTATAAACTCCACTACTAATTGGAAATTGAATATGAGATGTATACATTATAAACTATGCGATTAAATTTTTCGAGGAAACATCCGTTGCGAATAATACTAATTGTCGAATAAGCACATTCTGCAAATCAGATAAATACTTTTCCTTTAACAAATTATAACCATGCATGTAATAAATTAAGAATCAGTTTGGTAGTACCAGGGAAACCTCATATATACAAACAAACAAGTCTTACCTAAATAATGTTTGTGTAGACGAAAGCCCAGTTAAGCTCATTGCCTAATAAATGAGGTATTTGATTTTCACATTAGGATAGTGCAAGATTTATATTTCGGATTCGTCATAAGCGATAGCGTTGTTAAATTATCGTTAAAGAATTTGATGGAAACACTGATTATTATAAATCGTCGTCATTTTTAAATAAAAAGCCTAGCTCTGTATTTATGTGTGAGTAATTTTAATAAAATGTTTTTTGTTAATTCAATAAATATCAATAAAAAACCAAATAGATGTCTATCGTCACATTATGTAACGATATTATAATAATGCAATAGAAATAATGATACACATATATTTATGTGTTTGTTGTACATCCTATAGCATTAGTTTTGATAACAACAGTAAAGGCACGTTTTGCTTCAAGATATAAACGAAATCTTAATCACGGTGTTAGCAAAGGCCTCTCAACTCGGCGAGTGGCTCTACTTTAACAGGCAAAACCAGATGTCGCTGCGATCGAGGAAACGACGACATAACGTACCTTTTTTAAATCCAAAATTATAAAAATGTCAACCTATAAGCACACAACAACAAATGTCACATGGCTATATGTACATTATTGAGCAGGCTCAACACGGTCATTGTTCACAGGCTGCTCGTTCTGAGGGTAGATAAATACATAATTTTTTGTATAATTTAAAAATGACTTTTTAAGCATAACTTCAATATGAAGGAAATTACAAGGCAAACTTATAGAAAATCATTAAATATTACAATAAAATAGTAAATATAACAGGATGTGTATGATCCAAGATTTATTTTCAACTAAAGCAAGAGTGATTAAAATGGTGACTTTAAGCATAAAATAGGCACGTTTTACCTTTACCGTTTGAATAATCTGCTTGTTTTTATTCCAGCAAGTGGCACCTGTGGCCCATTACGCCGCCGCTCCAGCCATCGCAATTTCTCCTTATTCGCTGCACTAAGCTGTATTGCGTCTGATATAATACCTTCCTTACGCGTTGCTTTTTTATGTCTCTGTCAACGGACGATTAAATGGGGACGCTTACTACGTTTTCTTTTGATGTACAATTTTTATTTTATTTCTGTAGATTAAAAGATTTTATAAGATTAAGGAATACACGCGAATTCGTTAGTGTCGTTGTCCAAAATGTTGAGCCCCTAAGTTATTGCTGAAATTGATATAAAGATAAGTAAAGATGTAATTTTAAAGGAACAATACGTAGAGTGTATGTTTTTCTTTATATTATATAACATGTGTTCTGGTTGGCATTTCAGGACCACATGTTTTTGACATGCTTAAACTATTAGCTGTATAATAAATAGATTGGGAGGGGTAGCATTTTAAATAAAATATAGCATCTGAAGTACAATTTGATATTCCGTATTATACATACTTCTTTTGTCAAAGGGCTAGATTGTAAGATATTATAAATTTGATTTAACATCCCAGTTGAATGTTGAATAAATTAGAGTTTACTACTATATGTATTCCTTTTATTTAAAAAATCCATATTTTTAACAGTAGACTTATAAGGCACATATAATGTCATATTTAATACTAATTTAAATTTCCATTGTATTATTTGTTAAAATAATTGATCGATAGTCAAAACTGTTTTGTTACAAGTCAAGAAAAATCTCCTTAATTTAATGTTTTGACAAATTCCACATAAACATGATGATATATAATAAAGTTTAGACAGAATACTTAAAAGGCCATACAAAAAGGAACCGCATACGGCGATGGAGTACGTTGCTCTTTCATTTATAATCTCGGATTAATTTATAAGCTGTTGGCATTTATTTGCCATTAATTCCATATGCGAAACTAGAAACAAGTCCGTGCTAATAAGCCATTAACGAGGTTGAATCATTTTCTGCTTACATGGTGCGGTTGACTTTATCTCCGTCATCAGACGATCGTGTCGTATGTAGAAGCAGAGAATTGCTTGATTGTTTACTTCGTCACTATGTCAGTTTTGTCTTATCGTATTGAGTAACTACCTCATCCGTTTCTAATCTGGACGAATTTTGTGAAAGAAGAAAAGGTGCTTATTGACTGATGGATTGATCTAAATCGTATAATGTATACAAACCACATAGATAGAAACTTTTATTATAAAGAAGGTGAATTGAATATTTTTCCCCTAAGGGTTTAAATAGGGACAATATTGATTTTATATGGAAATCCAGCCGTAAAAAAATTTAAAAGATATATTTTAAACGATATGTATATCTGTGTAGTGGGAAATGCATAGATGGAAATTAAATTGAGATGACCTGAGGCATTTTTTATCGTTTTGTTGAATGATCATTTCAGTACTAATAATAAATACTTGTGATGTTAATTCTAGGATTTAAACAAAGTTCTAGTATAAGTTTGAAGTCCGTCAAAAGATTGATACTGTATGACTTCTGATTATTTTGTGTCGCAAATTTGTTCCTTTAGTGTAAATATAGTTATAATGTTTACCCTATTAAATGTTTAGCAATAATTTTCAAGAATAGTCACAAAAAAGGATACTTTGTAATAAGACGTTAAAATGATTTGTAATAAATACATTTGAAAGATAATTCGAGCTTTTACGTAAAGGAAGATATTTATTTTCTTAAATCGAGATTTAAAAGCATGTAAAGTTTTGGCCGTGGTATCAAATTTCGCACTTCCCGTTTAAGTAATTGTTCAATTTAACACATAATTTAACTGTTTACGACCCGAGTATATATGGTATCGGGATTGTGATCATAACTTAATAGGTACCCACGTTTTTAAGTTTAAAAATTTAAGTGTAAAAACAAATACCAGGCGTATAACATGTATATAAAATACTAGCGACCCGCCCCAGCTTCGCACGGGTGCAGTGTATCATACATATTAACCTTCCTCTTGAATCACTCTATCTAGTAAAAAAAACCATCAAGATCCGTTGCGTAATTTTAAAAATCTAAACATACATAGAGACAGACAGACAGTGGGACGACCTTATTTTATAGTATGTAATGATTACAGATTTATTGTTTTTTGTCACTGATTAGGTTAACACATAATTGCAAGTGCCAATATATGCTTGTTAACATGGCGTGTATTATTCCATTAATTGAAAAATAACATTAACAAACTAAAGAAAAGCGTATTCGACTAATCAGATTAGTGTTAATATCCGGCCGCCCTAAAAACCGGTCTCGGAAAGTTTTTATTTTTAGCTATTCCGTTATATACACATTATGACGTCTCACCTATTTAAAAATTATGCTGTCCATATAGTCGGTGGTGGGCGGTAGTGTAGGTACGGACGTCGTTAAAGATGTCAAGAGATGCCAAATTAGTGTTTACGACATCACGCCCCTAAATGAAAATCGAGCTTTTATTGCTTCAACGCTATTAAAAACAACAATCGTGAAAATGAATATAACTGTAATTTCGTGTTTTTACTTTTGTTTCGTACTGCATAAATTGTAATGAACTCGTTATAAATAATTATTTAGTATCATCCATTCGCGGTCGTGCATTTTCTCAATTTACAAATTAGATTACTTAATCATTTTAAATTATCCTAAAGTAATAAAAGAAAAACCCGAGCAACCTGCGTTCAGTGGAGGAAAATATTGTGAGATATAATTTCGAAATTATTATAAGAAAATATTTTCAAGTATATGAAGTCTGCCATTTTTTTACATATTTTCATTAACAGTGGAGTCGCGTGGTGGACTACAGCCTAATTCCTCAGAGGGGTTTTGTTTTTTACAGATAAGGAGGAGGCTTACTTTTTGATAAAATATAGGATTAAAGTGACGTAATAAATTAAATGTCATATAAAATTGTGATATTTTGTCATACAATTACACTTAATTCATCAGATCAAAAGCTAAATTAGTAGTATAATAAAATAAAAGCTAAGTAATAAAAGTAAGTAATTCCTTACTTCCACATACGACTAGTAATAGCAAACAAAAGCTTGTTTCGTTCTGGAGTCGAACCGACAACTCTCATGTCCTCCGACGGTACACACATTTTGCATTAGTGGGTACGACTGCATTTAATGGTCTGTGAAAGTTCTTGTATTACCCCTAAGGCGTTCAAACAAGTGCAAATCTAAGTAATAGTGTTGGGAGTCGTAGTAACAGTCTTATCTAATGTTAAGTTTATAAAACTATATCAATCACCATATAAGTAATAACTTTAGCAGGCGATGACTAATAGAAAATTTAATTTCAGATTTATAAAAAATATTAGGGAATTTATAAGTAACAAAACAAACTCGTTTAATTTGTTTAATGAGCGAATGTTATCCTTGTTAGTTTCTTTTAAAGTTTGAGTAAAATTATAAATGCGATTTCTGTTTCAAGCCAAATTGAATTTACGTGTTCTCTAGCCGTCGGTAAGAGACCGACAATGGCTCTCGTGGCTTCGTCACTCCTTATCCTGTTGGTATGACATCACCTTTCAGCGGATATGGGCGAAATTGCCTTAACCCACAAAGTTTACGCGCCTCGTACACTGTTGTATTTTTTATTTGCGAACTAAGAACCATTAAAAGACGACGCCCATGGGGGATACCACGCATGCGGGTGCCGCTCGCTTGGCCGTAAACACAGTTTCGTCGTCAAACACATGTGATCTTCACAGAAAACAGTAATATCGGACCCTTGAAGATTAAATCATGGCCATACATTTAAAGGTAAGATTATTTGCGCAAGTTTTTGATTTATGTAAGTGCGACAATGATTTATTTTAAAAGACATCGCCAATTCAATCAATTATCTCGTTCGAAGTGCAGTTTCACTTACATTAATTATTTTGTAGAGTATAAATGTTCGTATCTATTTGACGAGTTCGAAAGATAATAAATAAGTAACTATATATATTGCGAGCTTAATTCTTAGTATCAGTTTTGATTTACGATGCAGAGGTTCTTAGTTAAGCAAGCACGTCACACGTACGGGATTACTTGCACGTAAGACTAATTCCGTTCATTTCTCAAAGCGACACTAATAAATAAAAAAAAAAATACTTGTAATTGATATAATGTTCGGTTTATTTTGTAAATCGTCGTTCATTTTCAATAAATAAAAAAATAGTTACAAAGTTATTAATTTAAAAATGTTGTTGGTCATTTCGAAAGTACTGTTACAACAGTTATATAAAACCAAAGAAATATTTTAGGCCATTTGAAATTATATTTTCAGTATCGCATTTAAGTAAATTTTTCAGTTTTTTTCGTTGTAAGCGAACTTAATTAAACGGTTTTATTTAGCTCAACCCGTACGGAATTTATTTGTTTATTTATTTGGGACAAAATTAGAAATTGAAATTTAAGCACCTTCCCGTTGTCAGATTGATCTGAAATTTGGTACACACATTTAATTTAGATGACAATACAATATTGTAGTTTTCAGTGCACATTAAATAAAACCGTTTAACTTAAAAGTTTTTAAACGGTTTTATTATAGAGTAATTTTCTATGTGAGAAGTTGACTCGCGGGTGGGTTCGCTCGTAATGTTAAGTTATTGATGGTACCATTTTGGAGATCTGATAAATCCGTGGAGTTGCAGATGCGTTGCCAACCTTTAATAAAGCCCGTGATTATCCCGCTCGGCAAATTAAATGCAAACGTTCAAATAAACTGTGGTAGAGTCACCAAACTGCTACTGCTGTTGCACTAATGGGCGGGCTTGTCCGGATAAGTACCACGACCACACAGAAAACCGGTGTGAACCGGTTTGCCCCCACTCATATAAAAAAAATGTTCCTAGTTGACGCCGTCTTCTGTGAGGTCGTGGTGCATCCGCAAACTAGCTTGTCCATTCATGCGACAACAGAAGCCGCATCATCACCCTAGCTTACTAATAAACTTATCAATATCCTTTATAAATGTAGTAGTCAAAATAATAATATTTTATTTTATTGCAAGAAAACGATATGTCAAATTTTTCTTTTGATACGTATAAATGTAATGATAATATTTTTTAATTCAGATTGTGATCATATTTTCCGCGTGGTTTTTGAACGAGGAAGTTCGTTCAGCGTCGAGATATCGACGCCTTAGTTTGGCGGAACCGTCGCCTAACTACTATTTTGATCACGTCCAGGGTAAGGCAATAAGGAATAATTTTCTCTTTAGGCAACCGATTAGATTAGATTTAAATCTTAAAAATAAAATTACTTTATCTTCTGTACACTATTTTTACAATAGTGAATTGAAGATCTTACACTATAGGCACTATACTCGTACCATAAGTCGTTTGCGAGCTTTTATAATTTTTTAAATTACCATACACACACATATCTAAGTAGTGTCTAATTCAAAGACATCATCATCATTTTAGCCTGTTTGAGTCGACCGCTGAACATAGGCCACGAAGTACGATCCTGATTCAAAGTATTTCTAATAAATTATTTAAACTAAACCGGATTATGTTGTAAAAAACTTTTGATCGAACAAGTTGATGAATAATTTCAATAAGAGTGTAAAACAATATTTTATGTACATAATTATTTATAGGTTATCCAGGAACTTACACTTTCGGTTACGACGTGACCGATCCTGGTACGGGTAATGTACAATACCGCAAGGAGGAGCGCTTTCCTAATGGTACCGTGATGGGCACTTATGGATATCTCGACCCATTTGGACGAATACGTCGCTACAAATATGTCGCCAACGAGGATGGATATAGGTAATTGGTGTCAGCTTTATATTGACAAAACAACTAAAAATAGCGGTAGGTATTTCTTCTACGTCCTATTAACATGCAGTAATATACATGTACACTAGCGGACCCGATAGACGTTGTCCTGTAAACACGGCTGAAATTCGAAAACAACTTATAAATAAAAAAATAAAAAAATGTAGTGGACCGAATTGTGAATCTAACCATTGAAGACACCTGAAGACACAAAATTTCAAAAAAATCGGTCTAGCAGTTTACGAGGAGTTCAGTGACATACATTCGTACAGAAGAATTATAATATATTTAAAGTAGATAATATAAGAAACTTTTATCTTACGGCCAATCACAACAAAATAAATTCGCCGTGCAAAAAACGCTTAGGCATCATTAATCTCTAGCAAAGCTATCAGGTGTGCGTATGGGACTCATTCAACGTATGATATCACTATATACCTTTTTTGGTAAAAAATACATGAACAAGTTTAAAAGTGTGACATCAATTAGAACTACTGACAGGAGTATGGTCTGTCGGTTAGCTCAGTCAGCGATATTAACATCTCACAGCTGATGCCATAGATAATATCCATACTAGGCTGTTCTAAAAGTTCTAATTACATGTACTTTAATTTTTTCATGTAAATTTAGGATTTGACACATCCTTTCTAGACGACAGCTCTTTACTTTATTTTTAATAAGCTTTTCAAATTCGGAATCAAAGACAGTAAACATTATAACATTATAACATGAAATAAATATAAAATTAAAATGGAAAACCGTCTGTTTCTGATCCTAACATTTCACGAAACTAGTAGCTAACAACTAGGCTTACATTAAAATTACTGTTTCTTACTTATTTTTGACTCTGAAATAAGGAAATTGATATCGAAAATTGCCTGCCAGTGTAATCAGAGAACAGCAACTAGGTCCGTTAAGAAGGAAAATAAAATTAAATTACAAAATTTGTACAAATTTACTAATACTATGTATAGCATGGCGTCAATAATAGTCGAGCGCCTGCTTAAACAGTATAGCAAATCTCCTAAAAATAGCAAAATAAGCTTCATGTATATTTTAATTTTAACAATTTTTAATAATTAATTAGAATACAAGGTATTAGGTCTTAACGTCTCTAGAAGCATTAGCTTAGTTATTTAAAATCGATGATAATTTTTCTTTCTAGGGTTTATAACGTACCCCAGACTGCCGAGATAGTCCAAATTTTCAACGGTCAGAAAGCCAGTACAGAATCCTCCGTTACTTGGACCCGGCCAGGAAAATCTAAAAAGAAGAAAACACAAGAAGAAAAACCGGTCTTTTTGAATGGGTTCAAAAACGATAATAAATATTTTAATCTAAAACCACCCAGTTACTATGCGATTGATTGATATTATTATATTTTGAAAGAAAGAAAAAAAGAGATTTTATTGTTTTATTTCGAAGGAACCTTTACTATTTAAAAAAGAAATCTAAAAAGTATACATTTATGATCAGTTTTTAATTTTGAAAGGAGATAATACAGCTGTCACTTTTTTCATACAATGGCGTGTATAATAATGTTATTAAGCGAACGATATCGGTTTTTATCCTTATTAGTTTTAATATTATGTTTTCTTTTAGCGGTACAATGTAAGTGTTGTATACTGTTTTTAAGTATTTTTTCATGGATTATTAGGCTCATAGAATTTTTTAACAGGCTATCCCACGAGTGTACCGAGCTTTTTAAGTAAAGCCGATTTAAAAGATGAGATTCGTTTAGCGAACGGTACAGTCATCGGAAATTATAACTACGTAGATAGAGAAGGAAATCCAGTACAAGTAAGGTATTATGCTGATGATTCAAGCTATGGGTGAGTATTGACAGTAACCGATTGTCATTACAAAATACTATAAACGACAGACCTTGAGATGAAAAGATAAAACTTAAAATAATGAAACGTATTGTTTAAAATCTGCAGATAAGTTTAGTGTTCTGCTATCAAATCAATAACATTATTGATATTCTTTTAGCGTTGAACTCAAGAGTATTAAACTCTTAGATCCAAATAATGAAAAAACTTTGGTAAACTCAGATAAACAAGCAAAATTTGAAACTTTTTGGGAACCATTGAATCCTGCTGCTGATTTCCTATCAGACTATCCGAACACTAACTATTCCTCTAATTCAAACAAAAGCAAATTCCTCCATTCTGACGATCTGAACAAGGAAAGCAATTACAAAGTTAATAATATGTCACCGGATTATGAGATCTATTTACAAAATGAACTCCAAGCACCAAAGTGTGGAAAAGACAAGGTGCGCATTTACATGGACAAAGGGAAAAGAAAAATTCGGGAGATATTAAATGATGTTGCTACTTTTAAGTACTTTGATCAATTTTGAATGGTTCATAACCAAATGGTTTTAGTTCGAGTTAATAAAATAATAAAAACAATTTTCAAAACTGTATTTTTATTTTAAAATATTAATATAAATATGAAGATGGCCATTATCGTCTTGCAGTTTTGCAATTGAATGATGTCTTATAATCAAACATTCCGGACTCTTACATACATTCATGGGATCTTGTATATTTTGTATATGTAAGCCTTCGCCAGTATAGCTGTAACTTAAATCGTATTCATGTGCGACTTTAATCTGGAAACAGAAATTTGATATAGAGAAAATGAACATATTGGGATGGGAGTCATATAAATATTTATTCCTATTTTAAGGTCCTTTTGATTTTGAAATTGGATTGTCGTACGCTGCCAAGTTGAATAAGCTAAATAAGCATAGTTTCAATACGCTTAAGTAACATTCCTGATAAACCGATTAAATTGATTAGCAAGTAATAAACAACGTTCCAAAAACTTGTAAAAACCAAAGTAGAAACTTGATCGAAAAAGAAAAAACCGAAGGTGTAAACGTCCAAGTGAATAGACGTATTTGAATAAAGTTTACGAACACTGAATTGAACGTTAAGGAAGTTAACAAGTACGATGACTGCAATGTGTAATTGGCATGCATATCGCGCGCCGCTATCGGAAGCGATTGATGCATCTGAATCGGTACGATGAGAAAACTGAATTCTGATTTGCGCACGCTCCAGTTATGCAATGTCGAATTCATTCGGCTGCATCAAGGTGGCGAATGGCTTTGTGTCGAGTCGTAATTTGACCGTAACTTGGAGTCTTTGCAACGTGCACCAAAGATCGCGCGCTTTTATTTTATTTGTATAAGTCATTTGTATTCTGTTTGATGCTGTATGTACCACATAACTTAAAATTCTTCATAGATTTTACTCTTTTTTGTCTTGCCTGATAAAATTACAATCTGCTTTTTTCTTCTTAATTTATTTAGTAATAAGTAAGCCTAACGATATTTTGTTCATACTTTTCGTTTAACTTTTATTAATTTTTTTGTTTTAATTTTTAAGCATGCTATGTTTGCCTCTTAATTAGATGTACATTAAGTTGTAACATTAATTCATGTTTCATGTAATATTGTTTTTAATGTAGCATCTACTGGCAGACCTAATAAATAAATAAATAAATTTGTTCCCTGTGATGGGTATATCAATAATGTGTTAGAGATATAATGATCTAATACATAAACGGGTATGATGCATGTAAATGACTACATCTCTCCACGACTTTTCGGTCTAGACGTGGAGTAAAAGATTATACTTGAAATAAGTATGGACCATATTACCAATCCACCAATTAAGACGCCATGTATATTTATTGTGTTACTTACTGTCTTATGTATAAACAAGTTTTAAATGCTTTAATATTTCTTTATTGCACTTTTACTTAAACATATTAATAAGAATGTTATTATTATTAACTTCATTAATTTTAATTAAAATTAATTTTACTTACGCCGTACAGATGTTTATTGTTGTTATTTAATGTGCAAATCCATATCACTATGTCCTTTTCCACATCTGATCGCATGAAAATATTACAGTTAGAAAATAATTCTGCATCCTGTAATTCATTACGATTTCAGTATTATAACATCGGATTGGAAAAAAACAATTTGTATAATTGAATTGACTCACATTGTTGTGATGACGTGTTCTCCTACTTCTGTTTTGGTAATGAACTTGTGAATCAGGATTATTTTCTGATACCCGTACTTCCCTATTTATTTTCTTTTGCTTGTTAAGTATTTTTGCTGCCATTAACAGGACAGGTGATTTTATCCTAAGTATATATTAGTACATATATATTATGGAACTATATATATATATATTTAGGACATAAATTGGATAATAAGAATTGAATATTATTTATATTTATATAATTTAAAATTTAATATTAATTATTCATATAATTTTATATTAACATAATTTAATATTATTTATATTCTAAGAGTCACTTACTCGATTGGATTAATAATTGCAATACATTGAGAACTCATTGATAAATTCCTGTGGTTTATAAAAGTCTTTAAGGACGCTTTCCTTTCCAATGACAATGCTGGTATCTTCGCATGGTCAAAAGCAAAATGCTTTAAAATGAATTCTAATACGACGGTTTTTTGGCAATGTAAAACTGGACAAAGGATAGGCCTAAAAAGTTGTTACTTTAAATATTTATCAACTATATTAAGTTTTGACAAACTTAAATGTTTTTAAGTACCTTGTGTACCTTCCCTCCGTTACATTATCAATGATATTATTTTTGTAAAAAGAGTTATTTAAATTAGATTCATTGTCCTGGTAATTCAAATTTTTGTACACAAGTGTTGTGTCTAAAAGAAAAGTAGGTACAGATCCCTGAAAAAACCAAGAGAACGGTATACCTTGTTGCCTATAAAATGCGAGGGATTTTAACAAAATTGTAAAAGAAAATAAAAAATAGTCAATTAGTTATAAAATTACGTGCATTAAAAAGATTGTTGGGTCCTTTTATCCCTGTATTTTCCATAGCACTTTTTTCTATTGTTACTTTTTCTGTGAATAGAGAAGATTATATAAATTACAAGAACACAGGCAAAATTCTAATCATAACATATAAGAAATTAACTTCTTTTTATGTCCTGTTTATTATCACCACCAGCAAATTCTTTCCGAGAAATATTTTCTTTAATATTATGGGGTTCCTTGTTATCAGTAACGTCGGTATGTCCATTTTTCATATCTAAATGTGAACAACCTGCGAAAAAAAACCAATTTAAGGAATAATTTGATTAGGAGGTACATTTTTTTAATATGTAATAAAAAGCTATCAATAAGCTTATTCTGTATTTATAAAATGTTTCAATCAGGTATTGTAATTCAAATGTAGATACGTGCCGTTACAATTTACGCATAGAATATGGCCCGATTCGCAAATATGGATGTTCTTCTTGAGCTCCTTATTTTGGCACAATTCGCATCGTAACATACTTTCCATTGAAAACTGAAAGGAAATGAATATAAACATACTAACTGAAAAAATTATATATTTTTGAAGTTTTTACATAATTGTAATTTATTTTCTTTAGTTGTAACCGACATTTTTGTGATAACTTGTCTAAATTTTATTTTAATGTAAATAATGCGTAATTAATGCATTGCTCTAGTTGCTTGATAAAAATGTTTATTTCTTAACTATTAGTATCGCAATACAAGACGTATGTGCTCATATTTGACTAATTTATCCACCAGTATATAAATAAATGTTTAGAAAAACGCGAGTTAACGCTTATCTGTTACTTTATGTTATGAAGTAACGTATCTTCACTATAAACCGTCGCATAATACGTGTTTTGGTTAAGAATTAAGAAGTGTGGTTTAGATGCTGTTTGTTACGTTAGCTTTTAGAAGGGTTTTATATTCCGAATGTTCATTTATGTTAATTTCGCTGTTCGCAGTCCGATGCCCCGATTCATTTTAGTACGAGCGAATCTAGCGAAAGTGAGTTCGATTCGTTTTAATAACATAACTATGTAAAGTGGGTTACGGATCGGCACAATTGTTGCATATAAAAAAAGTCACGTAAACATTTACACGAACGGACGCGACTAAACACTTCCGGTTATGATAGACGGATTATGTTACCTTGTTTAAACAATATTAAACACAGTAAATAAAAATATCAAAATCTTTGTCAAAGTCTTGACGTTTGTCAGAATAATATATCGGTATTATTTTCTTCTTTTTCCTCCCCAAATGTCTTCTTTGACATGCAGTAACTTCGTTAATGACAATAATCACCAAGCTGAATCTTACGGGTGTTGACTGTGGTAGGACCACGCAACAGTATTCACTGTTGCACGAATGGGCCGGTCCGTCCGAGTAAGTCCCATGACCTCACAGAAGACCGGCGTAAAGTAGAAGTGTTACACTTCTGCATCTGGTGAGTGAGGTAGCCGGGGCCCACTTTATTTAAAGATGGCAACACGGCCATCACACATTCATGGACGGCGGTTATCACTTAACATCAGGTGAACCGCCAGCTCGTTCGCCACTTTCTCACATAAAAAAAAGGTTCTGGGATTTCATTAATGTTATAGACGCTTTGCCCACGTTTGCATTTTTTTTATCTTCTTCTATTAACTGATGCAATTGCTTTCAGTCCTTTGACTATTAAAGCTCAATCTATAAAGTTGTTTCTTAAATAATAAAGATCAGATGAGATTAGATATCCTAGTAGATTAGGCTATTATAGCAAGGAGGCAGCATTACATTGCCTTGTCCTTCTAAGAGTTGCTAATAAACTAAACAATAAAAAAATGTATAGTCATTATTCGTTAGTGGGAAACAAAATATATTATGTATTTATAATAGGATTATCCACTGGGACTACAATAGTTCGTAAAGGCTCCCGGCCGCCGGAGCCTTTACGAACTATAATTAAGGCATCAAATTTGCATTTTATGTCATCTGTCTTATTAAAAAAATTAAGAAAGATTACTTTATAGTGTTAATTGTATTATTAATGACTTCGATGGTGCAGTTGTTAATTTCCAGTAGCTGGGCATCGGCCGTCATAGATTTAATTCCCGAAGGGGACAAGTATTTGTATGGTCCACAGGTAAGTGTTTCAGATCTGGATATTTGTCTACGTGAAATCTATGAAAAACGTACTTTTACCACAGGATAGTTCAAGAAATTGTTTGAGATAGCAAGAACAAGAAAGACGAATACATAACTTACGCTTAAGAAATTGTGTTCTTATTTATCCGTCAGACAATTTATGGTTAGAATATTTAAGTTTTTATGAGCTCAACTACCAATTAAAATGTATATTCTTTTCTATGACCTTATTTTGGTTGGCACAGTATTTTTTGATTATATATTTGTTGTCTTAATTGTCGAAGGGTTTGACCACAGCGAGTCAGGTGGTGGGACTTTTTGCTCTCCTATTAATAAAATTTCCGATTAATCCACGTAAAACATAGATTTTTTCAAAAATTCTATTACAAAAAACATTCAAGTATCATCCTACAGCGGTTTAGTCCCTGGATGTTACACCAATATAACCATCGTATAATCCTCAAAATTGTACAATTTGTTATTCTTATTAATTTGTTATACCTTAATAGTAATGTGTTACCCCTATTCTTATTGTCTTCAACTTTTGTTTGACAACAAATGTTAAATGTCAACAAACTCTTGAACTCTATGAAAGCTTTACTCCTTCATTTGTTAAATATTGTTCAGGTATGAACAAAAGATCTTTTTACCTAACCCGACAGCGCGACGTAAAGAAAACTGATGTCTTTGTCAGCCTGTGTATATGCTCCTTTGTAGCGTTCTGGAGAACAAACGCATGTGCGTTGATTTTAATGGTTCTTTTGCTACTGGAGTTGTCTTATTCTTACGAGAATCACATAAGACACGACAGTAATCAAAATTCAATATTGTTGCAACCATATTACATATGGTAAAAGGTTATAAAAGCATATAGAAAAATGTTAGATTCAAACCAAATGTTGCCGGTTTCAAAAAAAAAAAATAATATCAATATTTTTAGGGTTCCGTACCCAAAGGGTAAAGCGGGACCCTATTACTAAGACTCCTCTGTCTGTCTGTCTGTCCGTCCGTCACTGTCGCTAGGCTGTATCTCATGAACAGTTATTAATATTATTATTTACACAGTTGAAATTTTCACAGATGATGTATTTCTTTTGTGGCTATTACAAAAATTACTAAAAAATAGAATAAAAAATATTTAAGCTGGGCTCCCATACAACAGACATGATTTGTTGGCGGTTTTATTGATAATGTTACGGAACCCATCGTGCGCAAGTTCGGCTCTCACTTGGCCGGATTTTTTTAAACCGGCAACATTTTGTTTTAATCATAAAAGTTTTAATCATAAAAGTGTAATTTTAATAATAATTTCATAATATGCATTATTCTTATAGTAAAATATTAGTAAACTAAGTTAAGGGTTATCAATTGAGGGGTGAAATAATTTGTTTCACCGTAAATAAATACGTTAGATACACTTTTTAGAATGCAGAAATAGTCTTCGAAAATTCGTCATGTTGCTACACAAACTCGCAAACATTTGGGTAACCGTTTGCTAGCTAGTTTGGCCTAAAACTGCATTGTCACATTATTAGGCGTAGTAAGGAAAGTGAACTGACAATCGAGAACACCAATGTTTACGTAAGTCTACGCGGGTGTTAGTGACATATTGTAATACTTACAGTAATATTTTATGGTATTAAGCTGGCCTCAAAAATAAACAACAATCATATGTGATGTAACTGTGAGCTGGACTTTAAGTGGTGGTTGAATTATTTTTTTTAATTTCTATAAAATCGCATAATAAGATGTGGGGTTTACGGAAAGCTTTTTCTAACTATAATTACTTATTACATTCATGTTAATACTGAGGAAACCAAGCCAATCTTCATGGGATGGATATTTGTATAATGATTTATGCTACTTACTAACTTGAATTTAAATTGAACGCGATAAAAATTCGTAATAAATTCGTAAAAATGTTTTACAAAATTTTTTTCACTAGTTTCTTCGATACGTAATAATTCACTTAGCCTGCGAGAATATAGAAAATAAAAAAAATCATTTCATTGGATAGTGACATTAAATAATTTTTTTTATAAAATTATTTAAAAAAATTATTAATATTTGCTGCGAATCAAATCTTGTATCTTGTATTAACTGATGTTTTTGCTTTCAGTCCCGAGACTATTAAAGCTTCATCGGACGCAGAACCGGTGGGCTAGCCAGAACCCACGGGTTTGGACCCTCCGCTATGGGTAGGGTCGCGCATGTGCTCATGCTGCGTTTAACTACTATGGTGTGTCATCTAAGGGCCGTCGAGGTCGCCGGTTCGGACCGAGACCCCGACGGCCGTCGACTGTGCATTTAGCTAATCGGTGGCTGGGAGCGGTGAGAACCGCCCCGGAACGCGGGTGTACCTTGTGTTTGCGAATCAAACCCCACCACAGCGGACTAAATCGCAGTTTCAAAATCTGTTTCAAGTCAAAAAAAAAATTCATAAAAAAATGCAATATTTTGAGTGCCTGAATAAACACATCGGTAATTGCTTGACGGTTAATGAAGTTGATGAGAAATGTTCTGCTTCGTTCACATCGATGCATGTTATGTTATTTTATAAGTAGTCAGTCATTGTGTGACGTAAGCATTGAGTCGTAATAACGACGTGGAAGTTGTAACATCATTCCAGTATTCGCAGCAGGACAAAGAGAGGTTGATTCGTGATTTCAAATCAAATCTAAAATATTCTTATAATATACATATTATGTATATTAAAACAATTAACATTCACATTCTATTGTTATGCACGATTGCACGAAGTGACGCATTATTTTGATTGTATTAAATAAAATAAATAAAAACCGTTTAAAAACTTTTAAGTTAAACGGTTTTATTTTTGTTTTTTTTTTGGTTAATTTTTTTTTGTTAATATTGTATTGTCATCTAAATTAAATGTGTGTACCAAATTTCAGATCAATCTGACAACGGCAAGGTGCTTAAATTTCAATTTCTAATTTTGACCCAAACAAACAAATTCGGTACGGGTCGAGCTAAATAAAACCGTTTAAAAATATTCAAACATAAACACTTCAAAGCGGAAAAAATATTGTAATTTGGTTATGTTTGTTTTATGTGTTCAATTATTGTATATTCATTTATTTGATATGTTTTAAGGCCCATTATTACAATGATACGAATAAGTAAATATTTATTTGATAGTCAGACCCAAACTTTTTTCTATTATCCAGCGTGCTTGCGAGAGCCCACCACCTTCTAAACAACTATATATAAATTCACAGTGAAGTTTCACTCAACATTCAATACGTAGACTTTGAAACGCGTGTCTCGTCGTTACTTTTTTCCGTTCAATTTTTAAAATCGATCGGAGCATTGAATATCAAATTAGTTAAAGGAAGTGTTGTGATTGCATCCACAATGGTATTTAAGGTAGGTTAATTCTTGTAAGTTATAGTCTTATTACAATATACATATATAACTAAGAAGTTAGAGTAAATTGAAAATCACGTTTCGAAATATTTGCAGTGAATTGAAGGTTCTTTTTCTTTTTAAAATCATGTGTTTATGTGATTTTAATGTCTTTTGAAAGTTCCCCTGGGAAATTTATTTGCAATCATCCTCATGTATACTTGGACTGGGTGTTTTAAAAACAAATAATGGCTATTTGTAATAAGTTTTATTTGAAAATACATAGGTGTTATTTTTGTATATAGAAATTTTGATTTTATTGTGTTCGATCTTGAATACAGGTTATGCAAATCGTGGTAATAATTAAATTATTACTTTAATTTCAATTGCTAATGTAACACTTCCTACACTGCGAAGGAACAATAATCCGAGAAAAACAGTACCGAATGCGCGTCTATTACATGTTTAATTTCTGTAAGAAGTAGCTGAACAAGGCAGCTTCACAATCAGTTTCACAATTTAGAGATTAATATACAAAATAATTTTAGTTCAGAAGTGCAGAATAATATTTACAAAGTTTAATTTTTAACATATTGTCACGAACTTCTGATAGCCTGAATAGTATTAATCGTCACATGGGGGTGACTGATATAAATGCTGTAAAGTATTAGAAATGTTAGTACTTGAAATTGGAAATGTAACTCAATATAATCCATAAATGTATTTTCATTTGCAGAGTATAGTTTTCTCGTGAAAAATATAATAAAATATTAAATAATTGTAAAAGAAACAATTTCGACTTTACTGTCACGAACTCAAATTTTAATAGTTAATTACTGAAAGAATTTTATTATTAAAACACATTTTCCAGGTTGCTTTTGCTGTTATGGCGTTGGCAGTGTGTGGACATGGGCGACTATACACGTACATTAGACCGGTCGCTTTTCATGAAGCACCGACCCTGGTTCATTCCCAGCCCAAGCTGAGCTACGAGCAGCACCCCATATCCGAAGACGAGGTCGTTGACTATTATGTAAGTAACCAATGGGGCTAAAAACGGTGGTAGGGCCACGTAACAGTCTTCGCTGTTATACGAATGGGCTGTGAGGTTGCCGGGGCCCTGTTTGTTAATAGGTGGCAACGCATCTGCAATCCTACGGGTGTTGCAAATGTCCTTGGCCGCTGGTTTTCACTTAACATTTGATGAACTGCCAGCTCGCTTGCCACCTTCTCACATCGTTGCTTGATCCTCCCAATGGACGGAGCTCTCTTTCCTTGGACGGAGCGAGACCTGCATTTGTTGGTGTCTAGTTAGATTAGTTACCAGATGTTCGTTTACATTTTCGTTGAGGTTGGCAACGTACCTGTTTCCCACTGGTGTTGCGGACGTTCATCAGCGGCGATAATCACTTATTATCAGATAAGCGACTTGCTTTTTTGTCAACTTACAAATATCCGTCTGAGATATAACTTCAATAAAGCGTTTACTTTTTTCCCATTTGTAGTCTTGAATACTAAACAATCTATTTTGCTATACCTTGCTTGCAGATTGCTAGTCTATTTCAATAAGAGTATGTTATTGCATTGGATATTAGAATGATGTAATAAAAATAAAATAATAATGATATCTAGTTTTATGGTACAGCTAACTGATACTATCGACTTTATCTGCGCTGCTTATTACATTAACAAAGTATTTTATAAGGTACGGAAAAAGCACACATTACAGAACATTTAGTGCTTAAAATTCATTATTCTTTAAAACTTTTATAAGCTTAGGTTAAATGAAGATATCACAATATTTTTATAGGCCAAGTGTTTAAGTAATAAAACTTTCCAATATTTTCCGTGATAGTCGCAAAATGGCAGACCTTTTTTTATTCATTTATTTAGATAAAATAATATGTTTTATATTTTAGATGTTAATACAAAACTTTAAACAAATATTCACCACTTCTAAAACGCCGTAGTCAGTGGACACCAAGTCAATGAAGGGTCATTGAACTAGAACATATTAACCTCTGCTCACATATCCAGTTCCAAGCAAGTGGCAGTTTACGCTCTGATTGCACTTTCGTTTGAAAACTTTCTTCTTTAACAACCTTGACTGCTTAGTTGGCAATTTCGCTTATGAGACCATTGCCGCGTTTTAACGACGTTTTGCTTGAAATTGCACTGAGTTTTACTGTGGTGGAGCTATGCAACAGTCACTGCTGCAGGAAAGGGCAGGTACGTGCGGGGAAGTAGCACGATCTCATAGAAGACCGGCATTAATTCGAAATATTAAAGTTCTGCGTTTCGTCTGGTGAGTTTGGTTATCGGGGCCCACTAATAAGGCAAAACATCTGCAGGCCTACGGGTGTTGCAAATGTCTGTGGTGGTTATCACTTAATATCAGGTGAACCACCAGCTCGAATGTCTTCTCACATGAACAAAATTGAGTTAAGTAATGACGGGCTTTTATGATAAACTTGCAAACCTTCAAATTCTACAAAAGCTAACAACGATCATATGATTTTTATGCACCGATGTATTGTAGAATTATACATAATTACAGATATTACCTTATAGTTTCAGCTCCACCTTTCTCTTTTATTTCTCCAAACAATAGATAATCGTTTCCAACGAGAACGCGTAGTGTACATGTACTAGATTTAAGTGAGGCGCTTTTTATCTCTTTGTGACGAAAGGGTTCTTCGCAAACAAGATTCCTCTTCCTGTGAATATTCCGTTCGTTGAAATGCTAGGTGCAATCTGTCCTTTGGTTTCAAATATAGGCCCAAGCGATGTAAACTTCAAACCCTCTTTAGATAATAACTATCCCTAAAAGGTGGGTTACAGTTGTTTTGTTAAAACCTTTTTTGTCAGTCCAGTAAACCGTTAAGGAGTTATTCCTTAGAGTTAACTGGACTGACAACAAAGACTTTATTTATACTTTTAAAACACGATACTGTTGTGTATTGATTAGCATTAGTATTAAGTCATAAACCATGATAGATATATTAAGAAAGATTCGGTTTTAAAAGACCTCATATATAATAATGCGTGAGATTTTATTTTATTTAAAAGCTAAAATTAAAAAAAAAAAAAAAAAAAAAAAAAACATTTATTGTATACTAGCGACCCGCCCCGGCTTCGCACGGGTGGAATGTATTATACATATAAAATTTCCTCTTGAATCGCTCAATCTAGTTAAAGATCTAAGTATACATAGGGACAGATAGACAGCGGGACGACTTTGTTTTATACTATGTAGTGATATTCATACTGTCAATGTCAAACTCGTAATAGTCCGTGGACAAATAGAAGTCTAAAGTAGTGTCGCTAAAGAATATTACATATAAGATTGACTTGGGTATCATTATTTATTTTCAATATGCTATAGTTTTAATACAGATAAGAGGTATTAAGTAACTTTTCCGCTTTACTAACTTAGGTAATACCCTTCTATGTAATTTCAACCACTCTCCGTTATTCGCTTGATAACAATGCGCCGAAGGAAATGCCATTGCGTAAGCGCACGTAAGTTTTTACCGTATACATTGGGAGCGTGAATCGTTAGGCGTTTCTAAAAAAAATTGTATTCCGGCACTTCCTCAGGTGATTCCAAATACACTTTAAGCGTTGACTGTCATCTTTTGTATTTGATAATAATGTCGAATATATATTTTTATGACCAAAATCGTCTTTTTTGGAATTATCGCACATTTTGAAAAAAAAAAAATACTTTTTTTTATCAAAATTGAAAGTTATATTTACACTTTTTCAGGCATACCCGAAATATGAGTTCAAGTATGGAGTCAATGACTTCCACACTGGCGACATCAAGACTCACCATGAGAGCCGCGATGGGGACGTAGTTAAAGGTTAGTAAAATGTTTCTAACAGAATGCCTTTATTACATTAATAAAGACTCACTACGTTTTTGAGTTCTTCAATTTATCCATATAATTTGCTAGAAAGTTTACAAAATTTAGTATTTTTTGACTAATTCTTAGGATACAAAACATTAATGTAATGTTCTGATGGGATCGCTCATCTATTCTCAATATTGTAAAAATTCTAGTAAATTCCGTCATATAGATTATGTCATAGCATATAGGTATCAATATCCCACATCATGTGGAATATTTTCTTTCCTGTTTATAATTTTATTCTTTTCTTTCATTGTCAAACGAATCGTAAACAGGCACTTGAAATTGCTACAATTCTAGAACTTAAAATTAGTTTTCTTGTGTAACTAATTACACATTATTATTTTATACATAGCGGCCGACACTAAGCTATGATAACCCATGTGCGACAAATCTATGTGTAGTTAATTTTTTGTATTTCCTTCAGGGCAATATACGGTGGTAGAGCCTGACGGTTCAATCAGAACCGTGGACTATACTGCTGACAAGCACAATGGATTCAACGCAGTAGTCCACAAGACGGCTCCCATTTCCCCACACGAGGCGGCACACTATAAATTTTCCGAACATTAATTAGTATCGTATTTTATTCGTTCTGTACACAACTTCGAAGGTCCGATCAGAAACTACGTACTTTTACGTGCGACAAAAACGTTTTTATATATTACGTACTTGTAAGACTTGACGTCGTTCCATTGTATTTTTGCGTAACTGTATACCCATCTACCTTCTTGTTATTTATTGTTGAATCGTTATAATTTTCTAGTTGTAAGTTTATTTGTTTCTAAGGCGATAAGTTACATGTTTTTTTTTTCACAAGGTCTCGTTCAAGGTCTTGAGTTTATAGTTTTTAATTTATTACATTGTTAGTTTGTACACGTATGGTACCTGAATTATCGTTAATCTGATTATCAGTAAAATTATCCGAATGTATCTTTTTTATTCATTTGTGTGGTTTATGTAAGATAGACCATGAGTATAGACTTGGAACGTTTTTGTATAGGCGATTTTAGGAAACAAATTAATTACATATATTTAATAACATTAGTGGGTATTTCAATAATTGTCAAATTCCCCTTGTTTCTTTATTTAACAATAACAATAATGTTAAAATTATAAGAAAAACAATACGAATCATAATGCAGGTATGAAATTATAACAAGAGTCCGTCACGATCAGTAGCGCTAAGATCTAAAAAGAATACTCGAAGTTGGACACTGGAAGCCACAAATTTATGGCAAGTAGCAAAGGCATTCTAAAATTCTCTAGCAAAAAAAAAAAATCTATGCTCATCATAACTTGTGTAATAGTTCTAGACTGATATAGTTAATGTTATGTACACACGTCACATATACGTTATTAAGAATATAAATGGGGTTCAGTGGCTGCACATTATTGGAATGTCAAAGGATATGTACCCGGAGTTTTAAATCACTTCATCACAATTCAGATCCGAGGCTATTACAGCAACGGAGTATATCACATGAAAAATAGTGCACATCGGATACCAAGAATGCTTCTTTCATCAATTTCAGATAGTTATAGGAATGTTTAGAAGCATTAGCGAAGGGTCAAGTAGTGGCTAAAACTTGGACCCTTTTTGCAAAATAATTAAAAAAGATGGAGACAAAATGGCCAAAGCGATTTTAAAGGTTACATTTAAAAGATATACATAATACAGATCTTGCCTTGTTACCAGATGGTTAGCAGAGTCGAAATAATGGCACTTCTCAAACAACAGACACGTATACGTTAGATTTTTATATTAATAATAAAATATTATTAAAAAAATACCTTTGACGACATCACCATTCCCACTTTCATGATGATATTTCACATCTCTTGTTTAATGAGCTGTGACGTAGTGTTACCACACTTAACATATTTTTTGCTAGGAATGTATTGCAATATCAAATGTTACCAATTGTAAACAGGCTTCAACCATAATAGTTTTTTAGCGCCATGCATTAAAACATTTAAACAACTAATACTTCAAGTTGATATTGTAGACAAAGCTAGTACTGGAATTTATCACTAGATGGAACTATCGCGATAGTGATATTACCATTCAGTGAGAAATTTTATTTTAGTGGTAAAATATCGATGCAATGGTCATGCATTAATGGTCATTTTTTAATGTACTTAGTGAGTACAATCTTTAAGCACTACGTTATTTTGGTTAAGTTAAACTAAAGATATGTTGGCAAAATTACAACCATGCTGGCAGTTCTTTACAAGACAGTGGCCAAATTACAAATATTAAAATACAATTTTATGGGCAATATCCCAAGTGACAGCGTTCATGACACTATTCAAATCTTTTTTTCCCTAAAAGATTTGTTACCATTGATTCCATATCTCACAGCTCTCACTGAACTGGTTATGTGTTATAGGGTCAGGGGTTCGCCAATGTATGAATAATATTTATGATGGCATGAGAAAATAAGTTTTCTTACAATAGTAACTTTGTATGCAAATGCAGTTCAAACTGAAGGAAGGACAAATCATGTTTCTCGAATGCTTCACCGAATTCCAAGGCTAGATTTACGAGAGACTTGTATTCTATTGTTTTAACATTAATACATAATATTATTTCTTGATAAATCCGCTGTCAAAAATCTGATAAATTTCTGAGTATAATCTTAGTGCAAAATATTTATTAGAAATTTACGTTATAAATTAAGGAATACAGTAAGACTTAACTCTGCTTTAGCAATGATAAAAAGTACATACATAAATTTGATTTGTATTTCACTATTGAATGTATGTATAGAAAGACTGTAATTAGTTTTGAAAATATAACAACACTACACCAAACCACAACAAACAACTGATTTGATGCTATCATAATACCAGCTTATAATTTTGAAACGAATTCCGTTCACATGGAAACGAGGGCGTTAAATACAGTAAGCATAGGTATTCACAACAGTTGCGAAATATCTGTTAAACCATGATAAACGTTTGTTAGATCTTGCCGTAACTTTGCAACCTTCGAAAATTAGTCTACTTTTTTTTCTTGTTTAATAATCAGTACCTGGAGGACCGAGCTTTGCTCGGTTTGTTTTTTTTTGGTAAATCGTGTATTTTGGAAATTACATATACGAACCACGGCCTAAAACTGAAACCTAGTCAGATCGATTTTTCGCCCCCGAATCTACGCATATATATATATATATTTTTTGTGACATACTTTGCAAGTTGTAATTATTTTTTAGAGATTCAAATAATTTTATAAAGTCAGTTTAGTAAAGTTGAGTAAGTGGTTAGAAATATCAAAATCAGGGACTTATGGCAAGCTTCATACCATAAATATTATTATGAAAGAAAAAAAGTCTTTCACGACGTTTTTGCCTTTGTTAAGTCTAAAAGTATGTAAGATACATTATCTTCTACTAAAATTCACTATTAATTTTCAACGAGGACAAAATAACATTAAAATAAAAATAAAAATAATCCTTAAACTGCAATAGGAAGGTAACACCTCTCGTTCAAATATTCTTTGTATGTTATGTTAAAATGTTGGCATACTATGGCTCAGGTGCAGCGTGACCAGATTTTATTTGACGAATCTACTGCTTGTCGAGGTTAAAAACTACTGAATTCTACCAAAAGAGAACGAGAAAACACTAAAATCATAAATCTAGTATATTTTTTGCTGTCGTGTAACCTATAAACATGATTTTTCTTGATTAAACGATAAAGTAATAAAAATAACAAATAAAACCAATGTTTTTTTTTTAAAGTTAAATTCGAAATAAAAATATAATTAAAAAAATAAAATTAAACCTAAAGTTAAGATTTTTCGCCTTTATGTTGGGTAACATTGTCATAAAGCTGTTTTGAGTCCATATGATCATACTTCTGTCACGATCAAATCTCCTACATCCTCCTTCCACTGACCCCTCGTAACCCTTCTTTTCCATGCATTATTGCATGCAACATTGTTATTATTACATCGATTTCGATCTTAATTTTTAATCCTATTAATATCGGAAAATATTCTTTCTACTTTGGCGTTTGCCAAAGGTAGTATCGTCATTTGCTTCACAAATCGGAACAAATTGCCATACTTTGGTTTGCTATTAACATCACAGATTTGGCTGACATCACTAAAAAATGTATCCACCAAAAACTTCAGACATATAACTAGCAGTTTACAATGAATGTTTTTTTAACATAATACAGGTTCACACTACTGCATAAGTCAAAAGTATTAAAAAAGTCAAGTAAAAAAAGTCTTAACAAGAATAATTATCTAAGAATTACATTCCACATATTAATGCCGGAACAATGCCGGAATATCCTTTCATATTTTTTATATGCTTTGATGTAGCCATGTGTTCCTTCAACGACGCCAATCTACTTAGTACTTCACAGTTGCATGCTTTACAATGAGCACTCGTAGTGTTTACCTTAGATTTACATAACCAACTTTTAAATGGGGGATATTGCTCTTCTTCATCGCGATATCCTTGTGTATATTTAAGTTTCATTTAAAACTCGATTATAAAAATTCTCAATAAAGGAATTCCGACTAGTCTATCACACTATGCTCACGGCACGAATCAAACGACCAACAGAATGAATTTTAAATAGTAACAATCCATTATATGAAAGGGGGAATACCCCGCATTTATCCGATAAGCCAAAAAAGTATTATAATAACTGATAAGCGTGAATTCTACTAAAATATACCAAATAATTTTTACATACTAAATTCTGTCGCCAGTACCTCAAAATGTACCAAAAAAGTAGAAATCTACTAAATCTGGTCACGCTACTCAGTTGGCTAGAGCGTCTGGGTACGTTACGGCGCGTGCTAGAATCCTGACAGTACGGAAAATTTTTCAACAATTCATTTCACATTTCAATTATATCTTGATTATATTCATTACCTTTAAAAAGCAAAACGTTAAGACGATACGCAACCGTCCACGCTGGGGTAAGGACGGGGTTATGTCGGTCTCACACCGACTAAAACCCTCACGATGTCTCCCACCCAGCCGCGTATTGGCAGGGCCACGGGAACCCTTTGGCATACTTCCGCAACCCTGCCAGCTCTGGCCACCTCAGCATCTCCTTCTCGGGGAGCAACTCTCCTCTCCTTCAGGTAAGGCACGCTGGAACATTTAGCGCGCCTTCTTCACGGCCAACGAACTCATCCGAACTCGCTGACCAGAGGCCATGGGAGCTAGGAGAGCCAGTGCTAAGAAGCAACAAGCCTCCCAGGCCCCAGCGATGGACTGTGGTTCCACCGCTCAACACGTTGCGGCCGCGGAGGGTAGGGAGGGCGGCGAAACGCAATACCAACACTCCTCTTCCCCTGCGATTCCTCCTCGGTAGCAGAAAACAGGGAGAGTTCTTCTCTACCACCCTCGGCCTGTCTCCTGTACCCTCCAAGCATATAATTTTGCAATTGGGCTCAATGAATCCAGTGTGGGTTCTTATTGGTTTCGACGTGAGTGACCAAGCCGTGGCTACTAAGCCCCTCTGGGCGGCAACCCAGTCGGAGGGGAAGACGGTATGTACAACTTAACATAAAGCATCCGATCCTAACATGAAATTGATATCCTATCTATGTGTAATTGCCATTATTGGGATCTTTTTATTTTTTAAAGGATTTAAGAGCCAATGAAACTTTTAAACTGCATGTAATAGTATTGAAATAAATTTAAATGTTATTCAGAAATAATAAATTAATCTCTACGAGCCATGCAAAAGTATTCAGTTATGTTGTTTTGCACAAAACATCACAACACGAAATTTGAAACGGATAATTCATAGTGAAAACTACTTGCGTGTAGTTATGTGCTGATCATTTCATATAGGAATACACGTATTAGGACAATGAATAGTAAAGCTCCGCAGAACGACGCTCCCATTACTTTCTCGGGTAAAATAATACGATGGATAATTACGAAAGCTTGCCACTGTGATGAATCGGTGCTGAGCGACTTTCATAAATTCACCATAGTTTATTAATCTGATCTGCATGTGTAGGATCATTGGGCCGTGCGAAACTTTTCCCAATTATCCGCTGTGGCGCTCGCAGGTCGAGGAAATTTTGTTTTCGGAAGCCTCATCGCCCCGCCCACCAAGGCTAGCGTTCACTGGCAAATAAGGCCACTTATAAATGCCTGTGAACCCTGTATTGCACTACTGAGGGATCAGTCTCATCATAAGACGGACGTATCATAGAATCTCGCGGTTATATTCAGTGTTTCTAACGATGCAGTTATATCAATGTTTGTTATTTGTGTTATTGCATACTGCAATTGCTAGGCCAAAGATAAGTCCAGTTTATGATGGCGGTTATAATGATTATTATGTAAGTATAATTTAAGTATGGACATGAAGTAGATGATATATTATTGTCAGTAAGTAATAGTTATATTATATATAATAGTATAATATACCTATAAGGGACAGTGAGGTTTTTTAGTATTAAATAATTTCATATTTACAATTAAGTTACATTATCCATTTAATTTTAATAACATAAATTTTAAACTCAGTCTTAAATGGATATAGAAATACATATCTGTTATTACATTATTTTAGAGTAATCATATTTTTAATCATTAAGTTTATGACAAAATACTGATGATGGAATCAGACTCACTACTATTAAATTTAATTTGGCAGGAAACGAATGATTGTTGCGCAATTTAAAACAATAGAAATTTATGTGTGTAGCATAAAATCATTTTTCTTTTCCAATTTGTACAAAAACGCCATTGTAATGCTTACTTCTCAGCCATTGCGTTATCATACGCGATGGCAGTTACGTATTACGTAACGTAACGTACTAATAAACTTGTTCATGTTTTATTCCCCAATTTTATAATAAGTACGAGATATTCTTTCATTTTATCACATATCATATAAGTTTTAACTTAAATTTTGTTTAACCCCTTTTTGTAAGCGTCATATTCAAGGTTTTAAGATTGTTTTTGTAGAATATCTATATTTGTTGTTTTGTAGAATATCTACGGTGTTACAGATATTAATATTATTATAAAGTATCTATTTTTACTATTAAACTTGTAAGAAAAACAGGCCTAAGGATAGAGTGATTAGAAATTTTCATTTATATAGAGATTTCAGCTTTTCGCAATCAAATTATTCCACTAAAATACATACAAATAAATATATTCTCTTGTATCAAATGTTAAAATGTAAAATCTTATAGGAACGACCGAGATACGCCTTCACATACGGAGTCGCCGATCATTCGACAGGAGATGTGAAATCTCAACATGAAAGTAGGGATGGCGATGTCGTCAAAGGTATTTTTGTATTAATCTTTTGCATATATAGTTAGGTGTATTCAAGCCACGTAATGCGATAGGACTATCGTCCGGCAACGATGGAGTATTAACCACAAATATCTTGTACAAAAATATGTATATAATGTTAATATGTTTTCAAATGGTGTTTGTTCAAGCTGCTCGGTCATTTGAGTATTGCATTAACAAGCAAAAACAAAAGTTGTGGTAGAATTTAAACTTAAATGGAAAACTTTTGCTGATTTGTATGATTTAGTAGACTCAAAAATTGGGTCAATCTTTTAAAATGTTTAATGGTATTTTCTTCTAAAGTATATGAATTATTTAAACAGATTGAGAAAATAAGTAAATACTGTTTGATTTTACCCTATAACTGTAGTTTGCAACGTAAGTTCTACAATACATAAAATCACAGACCATGCCCACTTTCTTATGGGGTGTTCTTTATTTCACATTTTAGAGAACTTAAGTAGATCTATAATTGTGGTCCATTCAGCAAAATTCCAAAACACGAACAAAGTTACGAAGTTTAAATTGCAGAAAAAGCGGGCAGCGTATAAAGAGTCGTAATGATCTGAACCCGACGTTGGCGTAACTTGTGTTTATCATCTTCAGGTCAATACTCTTTGGTGGAGCCTGACGGGTCCATTCGTACCGTGGACTATACTGCTGATCCCGTTCACGGTTTCAACGCAGTGGTGTCGAAGATCGGACCCAGCGTGCACGTTGCACCCGCCCAAGTTGGGATACCGCTCCAAGCACGGCCTATCCGGGTGCTACCCAAACCAGTCCCTATACCTGTCGAATTACCCAAACGTGTGCTACCTCAACAGATAGTCTACGCATCTCCAGCGCCGTATGGTACGTATGTTAAAATGAATAAGATGCAGCTTTGTGCAGTATGCTCAAGCTTTGGAAAATATGTTTTCTTATGTTACTTGTTCAACGTCATGGTCTACAAAAACAGATACAGATGAGATTACAGGTTCTCACAGTATTACAGTATCATCATCATCATCATCATTTCGGCCTGTTTGAGTCCACTGCTGAACATAGACCTCCCCCATAGACTGCCACGAAGTACGATCCTGAGCCACCTGCATCCATCGACTTTCCGCACATTTGCACAGGTCGTCACTCCATCTAGTGGGGGGTCGTTCAACACTGCGATGGCCAGTACGAGGCTGCCACTCGAGAACCTTTCTTCCCCAACGGTTATCGTTTCTACGAGCTATATGGCCGGCCCATCGCCACTTCAGCTTGCTAATCCTCTGAGCTATGTCGGTTACCTTGGTTCCACTGCGGATGTCTTCTTTACGAACTCTATCACCCAGAGAAATACCGAGCATAGCCCACTCCATAGCTCGCTGAGCGACTTTGAGCTTCCTCATACGGCCAGTAGTGAAGGACCACGTCTCGGTTCCGTAGGTTCCGTAATTTCAGTAAGTAAAATATTACAGTAAATGTTTTATAATAGGACTCTTCCCTTGGTTAGAGGAGTGTTCGTCGTATAGTCTCAACTGCCAGTTCAAAACTCTCAAACGATGAGAAATTATGGAAAAATTTAATGAAAAATCGAATAACAACACTGTTCCTATTCATACCTGTCCAACATTTTATGAGTGCGTTCCGAAAATCCTTTTTCTATGTTATGTGTTCATATTCAAAAATTCCCTAGAAATAATTTATATGGCAAAACAACGTTTGCCCGGTCAGCTAGTATAGAATAATGCTAAAATATGCCATAATATTTCAAATTTCATTAAAAAAAAGTAGAACATTCACGTAAGAGCGGTTTCTTCACGAAATTGGTAAGTTTAAGAAGGCTTATTATTGTTTGCATTGAAAACATTCCTAAACTGCAGTGTATACTTTCGTAAATTAAGAACATCTTATTACAATTAAACTGTGTTGATTATGCATAATACCTTGATGATTGTCTTCATAGCATTATTTCATTACAGATAACACATTTTTATCATCATTTTAAGTTATAAATAGAATATGTTATCAATATAATACAATTTTATTATTAATTTACTTATTAGTTCTATCGATCATGGAATTACTTAAATTATAAATATTTATTATTTCTTATCAATAATTTGAAATTACAAGCTGCGATCCTTTATCTAGGATAACTGTTTTAAAGGCTATTTACTTGTCTTCAACACTATCAACCAAATTTTATTACTATAATCAAAGTTTCTTTGACAAGATTCTCATCATTCGTAACACCAACTCAACAAGATTTTGGTATAAAAGCACAGTAAGTTGATTACTAAGGTGAACTAACTACAACACTAATGCTACAGCGTAATTTCAAGTCACATTTTTGTTTTTATAAAAACGTAACGCATTGCGTAAAACTGATAAAATACACGGCGTTGATACAAGTATGGCTAATTAGAGGCGGATAACGAATCGTAACTCCATTGTCTCATAGGTGCCCCATTGTTTATTCTTTGGGAAGGAATTCATTTTTCCTTTGTTTTGCAGTGTTCCCCAAGGTCGAGGTGCCGCATTATCCAGAATATGACGAATTCGAACTCGACGGACCGTACCAGTTGTCAGCAAAGAATTTTTATTAGAGGGCCTACTTTTATAGTTGCCTATTTTTTTAATTTTGTAGAGTGAAAGGAATTCACTACGTTGATTACACTGCTCGTTTTTTATATTAAAAATACATGGCTACTTTTAATAATTGCTATGTCAACGAAAAACATCATTTTCAAAGTAACGTTACGTTACGAATAATTGTTTATTATTGATTATATTCGCAAAATTGATTCATTATTGTGATGAATTAAATTATTGTTCTAGTTTTGTTTTATTTACAAATTAAACGTTTAGGATTATTGAATTTTTTTGCAATAATATTTTGATGATTTTTGTAAATTTAACGATGCACATTTTGATACTTTGCAAAGAGAATTCAAATTCAAATATCCTTATATAATATTTACAAGATTTAATCTATCTAAAATTACATATTATCTCATAAACCTAATCAAGGCGGCATGGTGCCAAGAAACATATATATACCTATGCTTGAACTCATAATCACAATTTTCATCCTGCAAAAGACTGCAAAAGAGAGCTTTCTTTTGCAGGATGAAAATTGTGATTATGTCGGCTGCGTTTTCCCAAAGTACGGTGCACTGTATAAGACAAAGTGCCAAAGTAATGTGTATAAGACATTATACTGTGGAAATCACTAAAATATTGCAAAAAAGCCGTCTCTATATTAGTAGGAATAATGTTATCGTGTATTTTAAGTAATAACACAATTATATTAAAACCATTTTATTTTCAGTTGTTATTTTCTTTTTATGAACTTTTCAATAATCTGGTGGGATATTAAGTAATTTCAAAAAAAAAAAAAACTTTATCTAAGTCTAGATTTTACATTCTGCACGGCGTCGTATTTTTTTTAACGTTTTGTAAGTCTGCTAAGAAAGGATAGGCCCGACCCGAATGGCGTAGTGGGTACCTGCCTCCCGCGCCAGAGGTTGTGGGCTCGATCCTCTGGAAAAATATTGTGTGACGAACATAGTGTTTTTTCAGTGTCATTTGGGTGTCTATATAATTATGTATAATATGTATTTATTTACAAAAGAAAAGTATGTTTAAGTATGTTTATCAGTTATCTAGTACACATAATACAAGCGTTGCTTAGTTTGGGACTAGAGAACGTTGTGTAAAAATATATCCTAAAATATTTATTTATTTTTATTTCATTTTTGAACCTTTTAGACAATTTAAACATTGAAATTAGTCTAAAAGCTACTATTATTTATAGCATGATCAAATGATGCTCCAAACATATGTTTATGACAAACCTCATCATCAAAGTAAGTAGAAGAAAAGTATTCAATGAAAAATTGCCTCTATTATATGCGTAGGCACTTTTAAGGGTAAATACTTTATTAATGATAAAATGCTAACCTCTTAGCTTAACTTTGACTCTTGGTTAAATGAAATTATTTTACGGATTTAATCACGTTTTAATATGACCTTCGTATTCCCGACGTTTTGAAACCTTTCTAGCGTTACTATAACGTTCGCGTAAAAACAAGAAATCAATATGCTAACTTTGAATAATTACATAGATTTCTTTAATTTTTCTAAGATTCCTTGAATTTTTTAAGGTGAGTAAACATAATTTATTGCTGGGTGTCTACTGGTTTAAACATTCGTTGACAATAACTGCACCTCCATGAAAGCTCCGATACTATATTAAGCGCCTGTGGTGAGTGAAGGCATTGTATTGTTATTGGGCTTATTGAAAATAAGATCAAATAAATTTTTAGGGACGTATTATTACAAAATGATTTCTATAAAACTAAGCAAAGCTATAAAACTAATACTACGGGTAGGAACTAGTTAACTAAGTGAGCCGGTGGTAGTTTTATTTGACGTTCAATAAGAGCTTATTAAGGCTATATTGGATAAAGAAATTTTGACTTTGACTTTGAACTGATAAGAGACAAACAAGTGTAACTGACTAAAAATATATTTAAATTTTTTCTTTTATAAATAAAGACATGATAGAGATACAAACAGACATCAGGAAAAGGCTATTTTCATTCTGATTTTTGCTGTAGTGGCTATCAAATCCTCGCCCTTTATCACAAGACCTTGCATCACCATCAAAAAGTCATACATATTTTTAGAGTATCTTTCCAGTATTTTACCATGATTTTATTTAATCGGCCAAAACATTATACTTATCGTAATATATGAGCTCTCACTCTTTTAGTTTGAACGTAATATTTAGCAGATGGTAAGCCTTTCGCCATATATTACACACTGGTGTATTCTTGCGTTCTTTAAGTAATTTTTCACAAACCGGAAATTTTTAATTCAATATTACGTAATTTAAAAGTATTTATAGTCTTTGATTTATTATTTGTATCAACTCAGCAACCAGTAATATAATATTTTATTTTGTATATTATATTATGTTTCAAATGCTGTGTTAAAATAAACCAATTAAGGAACATATAAGGAAAGATATCTACATTGCAAACTCTATTACGCTGAGAAATACGGGGCATAGCTCGCTCGATAGCTCGCTGAGTGACGTTGAGTGTACAGCCAGCAGTGTAAGACCATGTCTCGGTTCCATATGTCATCATTGGCAACACTCATTGATTGAAGACTTTAGTCGCTGATTGACCTCTGCGCCGAAGTCTTACTTAGCCTTGGTTGTTGCACGAATATGTGCAACAGCCAAGGCCGCTGCGTGGTTCCCATTCGGGCAGGCTCGTCCGGGTAAGTACCACGACCTCACAGTAGACCGGCGTGCAGTCGAAATATAATACTTTCGCGTTTCGTCTGGTGAGTGAGGTAGCCGAAGCCCAATTTTCAAAAGGTTGTCAACGCATCTGCAACCCTCGTGTGTAAGCAGATGTTCATGGGCGGCGGTATTCACTTAACATCAGGTGAACCTTCTGCTCGTTAGGCAACTTGTCACATAAAAAAAAGTTGAAATTGCGTAACCGGACTAATAGTTCTAGGTAAACATACTTGTCAACACCTTCGAGCACAGTGCTCCTAACAAGTACAGCAACCGGCACAGGCGCGAAATGAACATTAGACACGACCTTCCTCTGATCCGTATTCATCATAAGGTAACACACACGTTGGGAGACATTGTTGAAGTCACTGAGTATAGTACCAAGGTCCTTCAGTAGTAAGTCTGATATAGTAGAAATAAAGCCACTTCCATCTGACTTTATTATCTCACGAACTCTTCGAGCTCTTCCTATACAAGACTTGTGTAAGATTTGCTTGCATGTATGTCACGCACGTCTCACAAACACACCTGAAGTTAGAGGAACCCCTTTGCTACCGATGCAACGTGCTTCATTGAAATGTCAATCTGCACAATCATTGCAGGCTTCCAGCATTATGCGATCACTTTAGAGATAAAAAAAAACAGTTCTTCAAGGGTGCCAAAAATCATCTTAGTGGTGCTAAGCCCAGATCACTATCAACTGGACCGTAACGCGACTGTTTGTAAAAGTCAAGAGTCCCGCCTATCGTGAGGAGATGGAAGGAGTGTAGGACAGGACCTGCATAACTCCACTAAACAAGCACGTAGCGGTAATGTACAGCATACTGTAGTTCGTTCTTTGCTATAAGTTCGGCGAAACCCAAAAATGGCGTACACAAGGATACCTTACTCCCACAGACCGCACGCCGACCCCGACGACCCGTAGCCAGCAATCCCGTCATGTCTATATGGGTGACCCTGTTTAGGTCGGATATGTGTAGGTTTCCTCCCCTAATAGACCTTCAAGAAGAGAGCTTGTTCCTTAATCAAAGGCTGGCAACGAAATTGTCATCTAGTGTTGCGAATGTCCATGGGCGGCGCTGAGCACATATCACGAGGTGGCCCGCCAGCTCGTTTCCCTCCATTTCCAATAATCCATGATCTGGACTTAGGACTCACTGATGGGCAGTTTCTATATCACACCGTGCGTAGAATAACGTTCTGTGGTCACATAGAACGAATTTGATTTTATCATCGGAAAGTCTTAATTATTGTCTACGCTTTCAGATGACATAATTTTTTTTTTCGTCCGACTTATAGATATTGAGATACATAATAGAACAACGTTCTATCTGATTTATGCTCCGCAGTATAAGGACATATGTACGTTTAGACACTGTTTTTTTGTAATGACTAGACTAAGCTTACTAATGTAATAAACGAGTGTAAAATACTCTATTAGAGTCAATTGATAATTATTGCACAGTCACCCACTTTTTATGGTTTTTTCGTTGAAAACAGTGCTACATGCGTTTGTATCATACATATTTTCTGAGTTTTTAGTAGAACAACGTTATAAATGAACGTGTGACCCATTATTTTTTAGAATTTTCCGTTGAACAACGTTATATAAGCGTGTTTATGTGATCTTGTGACCCATTACTGATTGCCATTTTCCGCAGGAAAACGTCACTATTACACATGAAACCTCTTATTTCCTAAATTTATATAATTATTAATTCAAAAAGTATACTGTTTGTTAATATACCTAATTATATCACAAACCTCAAAAATTGTAATAGCAACTGCTATGTATAAGAAAACTATAACCAAAATAAAAAAATAATAATTTGAATCGGCCGTCCTGAACAATTACAATTTTGCAGATGTCACGTTATTCTACGCAGGGTGCGATATATGGATTTTCATTCTCAGATTCCGCATATACCGCCGTAGCATTTTCGACTGATGCAGGAATAATGTAGAGGTATTCAGGCATGCAGAATGCAGAAATTGTTAACTCTTTACCACCTTATACTTTCTGGTACAATTTTAAATCATTGATTTCTATTTTTGTGTTCATAAATATATTTTTAAACTGTAAAATTCCTCAAACTACCAACAGTTTAAAATAGAAACGAATACCAATTTACTGTGCTCTTGGCGTACCTAATAGACTAATGTCTCAATGACTGTTTAGTTGCTTGCATCACACGGGTTGAATTACAGCCCTAGGGCAGTCCTTAGGCTATGACTGAGCCGTAATAAGATTTATTTATAACAGAACTATTTGCGACCTCGGGAACT